AAAAACAAAATCAGCAACAGGAAAATAATGAAATGGCAGTAATAATTTTCAGTAATAACTTTCAATGTGAATGGTCCAGTTACCTAATCAAATGACACAAATTGGACCAAGAAACAAATTTTGACAGTATGCTGTATACAAGAAACTTACTTAATCAACAATTTCATAGACTAAAAATCCAAAAGATAGAAAATATTCTCGGCAATAAGAGCCTGAAAAGAAGTAGATTAGCTAGCCTATTTGCAGACAAAACTGATCATAAGAGGCCAAGAAGTTCACTACACATTGGCTAAGAAAACAATTCAGTGGAAAGAGGTAGCAATTATAATCATGTTTGCATCAATCAACAGCACACCCAACTTCATAAACATACACTACAGGACATTAAAGATCAAATAAACATCAGCACATCGATAACGGGGAACCTTAATACTCCACTGCCACAAATAGGTTAACTAGACCAAAAAAAAATCAAGAAATATCAGAATTGAGCAAAACCTTTGAACAGACTTCATAGATACCTAGTGTCCTTCCACACAAAGATAAAATACACATTCCTCTCAGCAGCACATAGAACTTTCTCCAAAGTTCCATATACTAGTCCATAAACTATGCATAAGAAAGTACAAAAGAACTGAAATTATGCTGTACATATTAATGGATCATAGCAAAATAAAACTAGAAATCAATGGCAAGAGAAATCACAGAAATTATGCAAATACATGGAAATTAAACAATACACTCTTGAATAATCAGTGGGTCAGAAAAGAAATCAAGGTAGACATTAGACAGTTCCTAGAATCAAATAACAATGTCAGTATGATATACTAGAGCTTACAGGACAAAAACCAGCGGACCCTTCACTTTCTCTCGTTGGGAGTCTGTAGCATGCTAGGATCTGCTTCTGGCCAAGTCTCCACCTTTTCAGAACTAAAGTCGCCTGTTTCTGTGTTTTAACACTGTTCTTTTCTACTGTAATTGCTTTCTTTCCCTTCCCTTCCTTCCTTAGCTTCTTTGCTATCTTTTTTGAGGGCCATTTTGATAGCAGCAGTCATAGTGATTATATAAAGCACTCTGAAATCGTATCCACAAACGTGCATTTGGGCTGAGGCTGACGCTTATGAGTGATTCCATGCTGCCTGGCGTCACAAGTCTTTGTCTCTGACCGCACAAGCCACGGAGCAGGCATTTGGTTTCTAACTCAAGACTTTGGTAGTAATTGAAACCTAAAATTTCAATCATAACCCAAATTTTTCATATGTGAGGTTTGTCATAAGTCAGTGGTCCACTGTAAAAACAGTCCTAGCAGAAATTTTATGATGTGAATGCCCACATCAGAAAAACAAAGCAGACCCAAATATATGACATAGTGATGCACCTTAAGTTCCTATAAAAGCAAGCACAATGCAAACCCAAATTCAGTATGAGGAAGGCAATTAAAAAATCAGAGCAGAAGTTAATGAAATTGAGACTAAAAAAAATACGAAGAATCAATGAACTGAAGAGTTGCTTGAAAACAACCCAAAATAGGAATGAAAAGACCCAAATCAAATAAAAAAGGTGAAATCACAATGAAAACTGCCAATACTTAGAAGAATATTAGCAGCTACTTAAAAAACCTGTACTCCAATAAATTGGAGAATCCAGAAGAAATTGACAGGTTTCTAGATACATGTGAAATGGAATCAAGAAGACATAAAAACCTTGAAACATCCAATAACAAGAAAGGATATTACAGGAGTAATAAAACAAAAAAATCTACCATGTAAGAAAAGCCCAGATCCTAATCGACTCAGTCCTGAATTCTACAAGAACATCAGGGAGAATCTAATGTCAGTACTCCTCAAACTATTTAATGAAACTGAAATGGTATGAGTACTCACAAAGTTGTTCCTGGAAGCTAGCATTATCATGATTCCAAAACCAGACAGCACGGTTCAATCAAAAAAGAGCTCTACAGACCAATCTCTTTAATGATTCTTTAACAACTTCAATGAGATACTGGCAAGCAGAATGCAACAGATCATCAAAAATATCACACATTATGACCAATTAAGCTTCATCTCAGAGTCTCAAGGATAATTAAATATGAGCAAATTAAGGAATTTAAAACATCACATAAAGTGTAGAAAGAACAGAAATTACATGATCATATCAATAAATACAGAAAAAGCCTTTGACAAAATCCTACATCTATTCATGATAAACACCCTGAAGAAAACAGGTATAAGTATATTGTCTCAATCTGATAAAAGCCAACATCATATTAAGTGGGGAAAAATTGAAAGCTTTTCTTCTAAAATTAGGAACAAATAAGGATCTTCACTGTTACCACTCCTGTTCGATATTATACACAATACATTAGCCAGAGAAATCAGACAAGAGAAAGAAATAAAAAGGATATGAATAATAAAGGAAGAAGTCAAATTATCATTATATGTAGATGACATAATATTCTACACATAAGATGCAAAATATTCAACCAAAAGACTCTTAGAATTAATAACCAAGTTCAATAATGTAGCAGTATACAAAATCAATTCCTATATATAATGAGCTCACTGAAAAAGAAATTAGGGAAAAAATACCATTCACACTAAGATTAAGAAAATTTAAACACTTAAGATTTAACCTAATTGGGCTGGGGATTTAGCTCAATGGTGTAAGTGCCAGCCTGCTAAGCACAAAGTCATGAGTTCAGTCCCTGATACAAAAAAAAAAAAAAAAAAAAAAAAAAGATTTAACCTAATCAAGGAAGTAAAAGATGTCTACAATGAAAACTACAGTACTCTAAAAAAGAGATCAAAGAGGACATCAGAAAATGGAAAGATATTCCCTGTTCCTGGATAGGCAGAATCAATATTGTCAAGTGACCATATTCCCCAAATTGATGCATAAATTTAATGTAACCCCATTCATAATATCAACAGCATCCTTCACAGAACTAGAAAGACAATCCTAAAATTCATGTAGAACCAGAAGAAATCCAGAAAGCAACAGCAACCCTGAGTAACAAGAGTAAGGCAGGAGGCATCATAGTCCCAGATTTCAAATTATATTACAAAACTACAGTGACAAAGTGGCATGGTACTAAAACAGACCAAGAAACAGACATGTGGATTAACAGAAGTAGAAACAATTCCAGGCACATTCAGCCATCTAATCTTTGATGAAGGACCCAAAAACATACACTGGAGTAAAAATATCCTCTTCAATGGTGCTAGGTGCTAGGAAAAGTGGTTATACACATTCAAAAGATTGGATAGAGATTTATATTTCTCACCATGTGCAGATATTCCTCATTTAATGACTTATCTGTTTAACAACAGTTTGAATTTATGACTGAGATGCTGTTGGGACTTATGTCACCTGGACTTATCACCCATCTCTTTTTTGTAAAGTTCTGTACATCTCATTTACAGAGCCTCAATGTCCTCTTTTGTACCATATACCTTATTTATACAGTGCTGTAATTTTTGATAATTATACTGTACAGAATAGTACTATAGATTTATGTTCTGTCATACATTACATTGTTGCATGTAAGAGTTATGCTAACAAAAGCAAAGTCATCAAGTTGGGATTTCCTTTGACTATTTCTTTGTTCTGACTACTGTATACAATTCCTTATTTAGTGATCAATTAATTAATCACCTAGTTGAAGGAATGTAACCCAGTCATTAAATGAGTGTTCATACTAAACTAACATAAAAATGAATCAAAGACCTACATGTTAAAACAGAAGCAATCTGCTGAAATATAAAGTATGTGCAACTGTTGAAGGCCTAGACATAGGCAAGGACTTTCTGAACAGCATCCCAATTACACACAAAATAACATCAACAATCAACAAATGTGATTCTACTAAACTAAAAAGCTTTTGCACAGCAAAAGGAAAAATCAATAGAATAAAGAGACAACCTGCAGAATGAGAAAAACTATGTTGGCTACCTCTTATACAGAACACTACTAACATCTAGACCTATAAAGATGTAAAAAAAAAAAAAAAGATGAGACCCTTCAAAATAAAAAAAAATCTAGTCAAAAGATGAGCAACTGAAATGAATAGATGTTTCTCAGAAGAAGTATAACTGGTCAACGATTAAGGGGAAAATATTCCAACTCTCTGGCAGTTAGAGAAATGCAAATTAAAACAACACTGAGATTCCATCATATTTTGGGAAGAATGGCTATCATCAAGACATCAAAAATAAATGTTGACAAGAGGGAAGATGAGCCTTTGTATAATGTTGGTGGCAATGTAAATTGGTATGATCTCTATGGAAACCAGTACAGAGTTCCTCAAAAAATTAAAACTATAAATTCCATTTGATCCAGCTTTTGGTGTATTTTCCCCAAAGAGTTAAAGATGACATTACAGTGATACAGGAATACTTCATTTTATAGCAGCACAGCTCATAATAGCTAAATCTAGGAAGCAGCTTGTATGTCCATCAACAGATGACTGGATAAAGAAAATGTGGCATTTATACACAGTAGAGTACCACTCTGCCATAAAGATAAGCTTAAGTCATATGCAAAAAAACCAGATGCATCTGGAGACCATGTTAAGTGAAATAAATCAAACCATAGCAGTTAGGAATTTAGCCACAGCTAAGTGGCTGCCTGTGCAGGCTGGAATCCATGTTCAGAACACTGTCACTGCCACTAACTGGGATTGTTTTGTTTTGTTTTTGGTACTAGGGATTGAACCTACTGCTTTTGCATTGAGTTATACCCATTTTTTAACTTTTCTTTAGTTTAGTTTTGAGACAGGTATTGCTAGGTTGCAAACTAGACTGCTTTAACTGCCCTAACCTTCTGAAGCCTTACTTTTACTGGTAAAAAGGATATAACTGTCTCATGAACCTCCAAAAGTTATTGGGGCAAATAAACAATATGTTGCAATTTAGTGGGCACAAAGTAAGCAACTCAAAGAAAGCATATTGATGTTACCATCACCATGGTCCCCCTCGCTCCAGTCACAGCTGGTCACCTACTTGTTCCAGGGCTCTGAAGGTGCTCACAGCGTTAATCCAAGCTAAGACTGGACCTTTGTTGTCTGTTGCTCCTCGTCCATACAGCTTTCCTTTAATAATAGCAGAAAAAAATTTTTTAAAAGTATGTACATCTCTGCCAATGTGAATTTGTTAAAAATCTATGTCCTCTAAGGCAACAATGTTTAAAAATACTTCTAATGTTCCAGGCACAAATCTTGATCTGAAATTGCAAAGTGCAATTTCTTACATGCAAATGGCATGGTCAATAGCTAGTCAGATAAAATGAGCTAATTTGACACAAATACATTCCACTGGCTGCACGGTAATCAGCTATTTTATCCAAGCTCACTGGGGGGTCTAGGGTTTGTTGTAGAACAACATGTACTACAGCCTCTCACTTTGAGATTTTACAATTGATGAAGTGAGAAAAGACATATGTGCATTCTTACTAACCTTTCTTCCTATAAGTAAAAATTATATTTGACATTTTTAAAAAGAGAAAGGGCTGACCCAGTGCCTGAGAAGCCCCCACAGAAGAGCACAGAGTTTTGTAGTTTCACAACGGAAAACGATTCAACTTCGATGACCAATGTGTAGATTATGAAAGCAGCCCTTCTGTTTGTCCTGGATGACTGTTAAAGACCTGGAGCTTGAGTAGAGGCACATTTTAAATTCTTAAACTTTGTGAGCAAACCCTGTTTTCAGGTGAGCACAGCGCTGAGGAACCAGCATGTCACTGACCATCCACCTCTGTCAGCGTGTAAGGATCCGTGAGCCACCCATCATCCTGCCGAGCAGACTGCACATCCAGGTGCCCGTAGAAGCATACAGTGGGTTTCTTTGGATCATTCCCCAGATGAGCCAGTATGATGGGAGGCAAGGGAAGACTCTGACCACCAGGCAGCTGCAGGAGGATAATGAATCCTAGTGTTAAAGCACACACACACACACACACACACACACACGTGCATTATTTTTCCAGAAAATCTAGAAAATAAAATTAGGAGTTCTATCTGGGCCCCCTGTAAAGTAGTGTCCCCAACTATTTAGGAACCAGGGGTAGTTTTTGGAAGACAGTTTTTCCAGAGATGGGGTGGAGGAATGGTTTCAGGGTGATTTAAGTATATTACATTTATTTCTCTTGTTATTAAATTGTAATATGTAATGAAATAATTATACAGCTCACCATAATGCAGAATCAGTGGGAGCTCTGAGTTTGATTTCCTATGACAAGGTGGTCCCATCAATTCACTTTCCACTGTAAAGTGCATCAGGAGATGTGGCTTAATTTTTACTTACCATTCACCCATCAGGTTTTGATGAGTCTGCAAAGTATTGATTTTTATGATCTCTGTGAAGTCAAATCTCTGTCTCTGCTAATTAGTATTTGCAGCCACTTTGCAATGCTATTACCATCACCTCAGATCCACCTCAGATCAGCAGGCATTAGATTCTCACCAGAAGCACATAGCCTGGTCCCTTGCATGTGCAGTTCGGTTACTGTTTGTGCACCTATGAAAATCTGATGCCTCTGCTGACCCAATGGTAGGTGGAGCTTGGGCAATATTTCAAGTGACGCAGAGTGGAATACAGTGAAGCTTCAGTGGCCCACTTCCTGCTCCACACTTGCTATGAAGCTCAGGTCCTAACAGGCCCAGACTGGTACAAGTCCACGTCCTGAGGGTTGGGAACCTCTGCTGTAAAGCCCATGTCTTTGTTCTGACAACCACTTTTTCCATCTCTAAAATAGTATTACAATGCATTTTTAGTAAAATATAGCTAAAGTAATGTGCTTCCTTTGATACACAGTGGCAAACAGTATAGTCCGTAAGATGCACTCTTCAATAAGAACTCAGATCTTAGCTAGTTTAAAGTAACCAGGCTGGATACTGACAACTTGCATTATCTGACGTTCTCATTGCTAAAGAAGGTTTCACTGGGCACATAGATTTAGGACTAACATTCTTGATGCATTGGGAGTTTTAAGCAATGATTCCAATGAAAGAATGTAGCTATAAACATTGAGACTTCAAGACAGATGCATGTGAATTTAAAGTAGAGGACCACTTGGGAGAATATGAATCATACATGCAGGAAATGGACAGAGAACAAGGAGGGAGGGATCTTTCCATAACAAAGTGAAGTTCACTCACCCCTCTATTACTATATGACACCACCTGCAGTCCTTATATGACTAGAAGTCAGTAATACGATCTCATTTGGGAGTGGGTGGAATTTTTCATTCTTACTGGATATTAGTATACTGTGGGTAGGATTTGGGACAAGGATCAAGCCCCTCACTTGCCATCACCAAAGGAAGGCGTGACTCATGGCCACAGAAATGGTGGCTCCCTAACTGGAAGGAGACTTGCCAGCACCTGCTGAGAACCCAAATCCACAGAATCCACTTCAGCTCCCAGGCGCTGGAGCTTGTCAGCAGCCACAGCCATCATCCGGAAGAGTTCTTGTCTAAAACGAGGCACAGGTTGAACAGAGTCACTCTCAATGGCCACCCACTCCTTGAGTGTCTACGAGAAAAGGCAAGAAGGTATTAGTATGGTTGGGGAAGAGACTCACATCCATTCAGGTGGGGGAAATGCAAGAGCAGGAAACAAGGATTTCTCAAATAATTTTCAGGTGGTGGAGCTCTACAGACTGTGCTAGTAAACACAATGACATTCAAGAGCAACTGACAGACGAATTGGGGGTTTAAGGGAGAACTTGGAGGCCAGAGGTGTCTGGTTATTAAACAAAAAGGGGCAGGACACATTGGAGAAAGTGGTGGCCCCTCCCTGTACCTCTAAGTCCAGTAGGCAGTGAGATCTGGTCTTAGAATCAGCCTTAGTTCCTGAGCCTGTCTGGCCCATTACAGTCATATGACTTTGAGTATATTTCTTAGCCCTTCAGCCTCAATTATAGGAGAGTGATGTTCCCTAACTCCAGGGGATGATGGTCACGAGCTGAGAGAGTGTATGTTAGGACTTAACATGGTGCCTGGCACTACCAACCAGAACTACCAATACCTGACTGAAGGAAACCCAGATACTTAAGAAACCCAATGTTTTAAGAAACATTCATAAAATAGCTCCTTTGCAAAAACACCACCCAGTGATGTGGTTCATCTCACTTTCTACTACTTTCAAATGTCACATATATACTTGCTACTCACGCCATCCAAAATATTGAAGAATAATACTTCCAAATAATTTACCAAGTCTTACAAAGATTGCCAGAAAGAATTTAAAAATTTTTCATTTATCAAAAAATACAAAATTGTTAAGTATAATATTTCCCAATGTTGCCACTAATAAAAGATTATAGCATGCACGAATGGACCTTACACACCACTGGAATGGTTTCATTGTTAGAGAATGCACTAATACCCAGTTGGATATTGCTGATGGAATGGCAGTTCTGAGCAATAATTGTAAATAAATCATTTATAATTCAGTGTTAGAAACTGAGTTCCTTATACTAGAAACTGGATATTTTTTCAGAAAAATTACACATATTTTGGATGGCTAATCTTAACTCTTCTCTGTAACAGTTTTTTTTTTTTTTGAGAAAAGGTCTCAAAGTTGACTAGGTTGGCTTCAAACTCAGGAACCTCTTGACTCAGCTTCCCTAGTAAATGAATTTACTAGGGCACCATCACGTCCAGCCCTAACTTATTTTAGATTGTTATTTTTCTCCTGATTGTAACACTTTTTTTTGTTGTTGTTACCAAGGATCCAACTCACTATGTCACACTTGCCAGGTAGATGCATATGCTACTGAACTAAATCCCCAGCCCCATAGCACTCTTATTTTAGGTGAATTTATTTAAGGAAAAATGTTATCTTATGTGCTCCAACTAGAATTTATAAAGCAAATACTGAGTCCTCCCAAAACTGGGTGGCTTAAGTGTGTTTAAGGAGGTTGGGAAGAGGAGATATCTTAGCTAAAATCCCAAATCAGCATTTGATGACCACAAGACACCATTTTTCTTTTTTTTGTGTGTGTGTGTTTTTCGTTTTTATCGGTACCAGGGATCGAACTCACAACTGCCTGCTTGCAAGGCAGGCACTTATGTCACTGAGCTAAATCCCCAGCCCCAAGACACCATTTTTCAATACGCTGTTAACTGCAACCAATGACAGAAGCACACTCAAGCCCTTTTACATCAGGTTAATATTCCAGCAGGATAAAGGATTACATAAAGATCAAGCTTAAGAACAGTGCCCTGGACATTTAGCTTTGGGCCTTTAGCAAGAAGCTAGAAAATCTCACATCTGTTTTCATGATAGTATTTCTAAAATTGGTTGACTGAATCCAATAAGCATGTTTTAACACCTACCATGTACTAGATATGGTGTGAGGGGGAAATTGGAATACAAAAGCCATTGAGACCCAAGGAGCCTCAGGCTGGCTAGTACAACCAAAAGCACGTAAGTGTAGAAAAGCTATAGTCACGGATGGAGGTACCCTTAGAGGGGACAGGGAGGCTAGATGGAAGTGGGAAGCAGAAATATGGGGTACCACAGGCACCTGCGCCTCCCCACTTGCTCATCTCTCTCCGTTCCTTCTCCCCTGGTCTCCCACTTACCTCCCTTTCTAATTGCTTCCTCCTGCCCCAAATGCCCACACTATGGGCCAATGGCCATATAGTGAGTTAGGAAGGAGGCAGAGGATCATAAGAGAGGAGACCAAGTGTCCATTGCACATGGGCCATAAACACACAATATTGGCATTGACTTTGAAGCTGTTCAGCTCCCTAGCTCTGTCCAGAACTCAGCAGGAGCCAGTGACATTATTAGTGGGCCACCTGATGGACCAGAATATATGTGAGTTCTACAGGTGTTAGCGGACACCTAGATCAAATATGTGGGGTATGGATAAACAGTGCCCTTTCTAGGAGGAGTTGGTAGGGAGGGAATCTCTTTCACAGAGATAATGAACAGCAATTATTTTAATTCAGTGAGGAGTCACAGGCATCCTCAGGCAGTGGAATCATTTTGTCAGGCACAAAAATCCACATCTCACAGCAAATAATGATTTCCCCAGACCCTAAGTCATAACCCAAGTGTGCAGGCGCAGCTTCTCCTACCTGTACAAATTCATCCTGGTGCAGGTCAATGTACTGGAAAACCTTGTCCAATGGCCCGGCAGATGGAGGAAATGAGAACATTCCCCTCTCAAGTAGCAGCAGCAGTGCCACAAAAGAGGAAGCCTGTGGATGGTTGATGGGACATTGAAAGTAAGTGACATTGTCAGACTTTCAACTTTTCGAATACTTCAAGAAAGACTTATCCAATACAGCTACTTGATGATCCACCAGAGTCAAATATAAGAAAGTGCATGAAATCTGTCCATAATTCTAAAGACCTAGAAAAATATAGCCAATGTCTTGGATCCCACAGCAGTGTCCTGCATGATAGCAGCTGAAGACCTAGAACCCATGACAATGCCTTCCAGGAGTCCAACTGGAGGTCTAGAGCCCACAACAGTAACTGATGCAAGTCTGTTTCATGAATCTGTGCTGGGAAGGCCCAAAGGTCAGTGGTGGAAGCTGGAAAGTCTATGCCATTGGGGTGATGGAGCTGTGCCAGTAGATTAAGGGTTCTGCAGTGGAGCCAAGAAACAATGCTCAAAATAAAGATCAGGGCTCCTCTGAAAAGTACCACACCAATCCTCAGCAACAATGAGGCCAAGCTCTTCTGATGATAACAGTCAAGCATATGTCAGGAAGCCATCATGACAAGCTTCCCCTTGAGATTAACAGCACACATCTTCCCCTCTGGAGCCAAGAAGCAACGTTCAGCGTAAGGACCAGAGGTCCCCCAAAATGAACCATAGCTACTTTCAGTGACAAGGTCTCAAGTTCCTCCAATGATACTGGCTGAACTCATAACAGGGAAGCTAGCCATGACACGCTCCTCCAGGAGAACCAATGGCTCCAAACAGCAACATTTATTAGAACCCACAATACTACTCTTCCTCTCCACATCTCCTTTTATACTGGCAGCTTTTCATGAGCCATATATACTCAGCACCATGCTGATTTAATTCAGCTGGTGTTAAAATTGACCACAAGTGTTTAATCCATAACACTCATCATGAGATGCCCATGGTAACAACTGCCTATCTTGCCACAAACTATCAACAAGTGTTATGGTTTGTGTCTGGGTGTACCCACAAAGCCTCATTCATTCATGAACATGGTTGAATTTAGTGTTTGTGATTGGCTTGTTCTCTAGCACTAGGATTGGCAGTGTGAGTGCTGTACATGCTCAGGGACAGGTAGCAAACGTGTAACATAAGGGAAAAAAGGAGTTCGCCTTTGCCTTTTGTCCTTTACCCTTTTGTTGCTTCTGGTATCTATTGCAGCCACCATGTTGCCCTTCAGCCATGCTGCCCTGACTTGGAGCCAGCTGATTATATACTGAAACCTCCACCAACTGTCAGCTAAATAAACCTTTCCTTCCTTCATTTTTGGCATCAAGTGTTTTGTCTCAGCAGAATTTGGTACCAGTGGAGTGGGGTCACTGCTGTAACGATACCTAACCATGTAGTTTTAGAGCCTTTATGAATGGCTTGGAGGAATAGTTTGGAAAATGTCAGAGATATCATCTGAAGGAGAAGAGCTGGAACACCTTAGGTTGTTCCGTATGGGAGATTCTGGTCAGAACTCAGAACACCAGAAGGCTGACAGAAATCCTGCTGGTAAAGACCAGGCCTGGGAGGCTTTTCCTGGGAAGAAGGACTGCATTGGTTGTTGAACTCCCGATGATATGTGCTATGGCTTGGCAAAAAGTTGTCTGCATTTTGCTCTTGTCCAGAGATGTTGCCTGAGACTGAGATTAAGGGTGAAAGTCTAACTGGCAGAAGAAATTTCAAGGCAGTCTAATGTTGAGATAGTGGCATGGTTATTTGTTGGGGATTTTTGCAATATTTATGTTGCAAATCAAAAGCGAAAAGCCCAGCAGGATGATTTAAAATGTTGTGAGTTTGGCCAGAAAGAAAGCACAGTAAATCTGTGAACTATAAAGATAGAGCTAAGATCTTGATTGCTGAGAAGGAACAAAAGAATACAAAAGATGGTCTGGGGACATCATGTGAAGCAGTAGGTCTCTACCCCTTTCAGCCTCAAAACTGAAAAGTGAAAGACTTTGTTTTGAGAAGCAAGCCACAGAGTGCCAAGTTCCAGAACGGTGGCTGCAGCCACACTATGTTCCAGAATGGTGGCAGAGGACACAGGAGGCTCCAAAATGGCAGTGGCCCACCAAGTTCCAGAATGGCAGCAGCATAGGGAATTTGTTGCTCAGAATCAGGTTCAGAGTGCTCAGCAATCCAGGCACTCAACTCCTACAGCCAAGAGAAAGGAAAACCTGGTTACTGCACCAGCTGGCAATGGGCCTTGGCATCATTCACACAGCACTGGTTTTAGGCACATTCAGAATGCAAGAATTCTGAAGTTGAAAAGGTCCACCCCAACTTCAGAAGGCCTGGGAGGCCAGGCAGTGTGCCCCTAAGAGAGCAGTGTGTGCAGCTGTGAGTGTGAAGCCAAAGATGTAGTGGAGAGCCCACAAGTTTGGAAAAAGCCAGGAGCATAGATTGCCTAAGCAAACCTGCAAGGAGAGAGCAAAGGCAGCCCAAGAGAGAAGCTGTGGGAGTTAGAACCACAATTTCCATGGAGGGTGGAGTCACTCAAGCCTTTTGGAGTTCACAGTTTATCACAGATTGCTTCAGATGTTCCACATGGAACTACAGGACTTAATGTTTGCCCTGCTGGATTTTGGATTTCCTTTTGTCCCAATGCTTTGTATCCCCATTTGTACCTTTTAGAATGGTAATGTTTATCTTGTGCCATTGTATGTTGGAAGTGTTTAACTTTGTTTTCATTTGTACAGGGGATTACAGCTAAGAGTTCACCTTAGATCTCAAAAAGAGACGAGATTTGGACTTTTCAGCAATGCTAAAACTGATAGGACTTTGACAACTCTTAGAGATGGACTAAAGGTCTGTTTCATAAAGAATGTGTATGAATCTTCTGGAGTCCATGGGTGGAATGTTATGGTTTGTGTTTGGATGGCCCCCCAAAGTCTCATGCTGTCATGGAAGTGACTGACTTTAGCATTTGTGATTGGTTCATTGAATAGTGCTGGGACTGGTAAGGTGAGTGCTGCACCCACCCAGGGGTGAGTAGCTGGCATACAATACAAGGGAGAGAAAGAGGCATGCTTTTCCCTTGTGCCTGTTTTGTCTTGTTGCTCGCAGCCACCATGAATAGCTGCTTTTCCTCAGCCACACCACCCTGCCTTGTTACCAGTTGAGGATGGACTAAAGCATTCAAAAACTGTAAGCTAAATAAGCCTTTCCTTCCTTCATTTTGGGCACCAAGTATTTTACCGCAACAATGAGTAAAAAGTAACCAAGACCTTCTTTGAAAAGAAGGTAGTTGAATATTTCACATTCAACTACCAGCATCTTGAGAGGCTTTCTCTAATCTACTATCCCTAGAACAGCAAGGAGGATACTTTAAAAGATGGTTTAGATTATTGTAAACATTTTCAAGACATTCCATTGAACTTGAGATAAGCCAAACATCCATGTTCTCTCAGGGTTTGCATAACGGCCTTGGTCTCTGCAGGTTTAGCTTCTGCATCAGGAGGGCTCTACAGGGAGGTCTCTGTCACTTACTTATGTTCCCCAAATGCTTCCTACCATAGCTGCTTCCATTCCTGGGCATCTAGGAACCAAAAGTGGGTGTATTTAAAGTGATGGATGTCCAAATATGCTTCATGTTGGTGTAAAGAGAACTTGACATGGGTATGGATATTCTGATTCTTTTAGGAATTCACCTTCAACAAGATAATGAGCCTGCAGCAGAAAAGAGTGCACCTCTCAGCCAGAATACCACTCACCACATAATAAACCCTGCACTGGCTGAAGGAAGAGCAGTTTGCAGGTGTTCCACCTTCTATCAAATCATTGTTGAAATGATAAAAAGTGCTCAGCTTCCAATGCTTTTTGGCCAGTATTCAATTTGCATAAAACCTAAAAGACCACAGAAATCTCAATGTTCTCAAAATAAGAAGGTAAAGAGAACAACTTTGAGTAAAAAGGGTATAGTTCACCATATAAGATTGAAAGTCTGGAAATAAATCCTCATATTTATGATTAACTGATTTTCAGTAAAGGTGTTAAGATAATCCGGTGGGGAAAGAATAATCTTTTAGATAAATGGCACTAAAACAACTGGATATCCACAGAAAGGGTGAAACAGGACCTCTTCCTTATACTACACACAAAAATTAACTCAAAATGTGCCGAAGACCTGATGCAAGTGCTAAAAACAGTAAAATTTAAAATACAAATACGAGTCTTCCTAACTTTGGAGTAAGTAATTATATATCACTGAAAGCACAGACAGTAAAATAAAAAACAAATAAATTGGCCTTCATCAAAAATAAAAATGTTTTTTCTCAAATGACACTATTCAGAAAATGAAAAGAAAACCACACATAGGGAAATCTATAGATCACATATATGAAAATGACTTGTGCTAGAATAGAATGAACTATTAAAATTTAGTAATAAATAAACAACCTAATTTAAAACTGTTCAAAAAACAAAAAGGACTTCATAGACATTTTGCTACAGAAAATATAAAAATGGCAAATAAGCACATGAAAAAAAATATGCAACATCATCAGCTACCAGAGAAATTCAAATCGAGGCACGATGAGACACCACTTCATTTCCACCAGGAGGCTGGGTCACAAAGTCAGGAAGCAAGTGGCAGTGAGGATGTGCAGAAACCAGAAATTTTGACACCATTAATAAAAAATGTATAAAATGCAACCTCTTTGAAAACAACCTGATTGTTTCTCGTGATTAAACATAGACTTGTCATATCAACTAGCAATTCCACTACCAGCTATGGACTGAAAAGAAATAAAAGTATATGTCTACACAAAAACTTGTGTAGAGGCTTACAGTGCACTATTCATCCTTGCCTAAAGGCAGAAGCACCCCAAATGTCCATCAACAGATGAATGAATGCACAAAATGTGCATCCAGCGAGGTGAAGTACTTAGCAAATTGGAAAGAATGAAGTGTTGGCAAATGCTACAGCACGGAGGAGTCTTGCAGACATTGTATCAAAGGAAATAAGCCAGATATAAAGGGCTACTTATCACATGATTCCATTTACACAAAAGTCTGGAATATGTAAATCCATCGGGACAAAGTAGATCAGTACCTAGGTGACAAGCGGGGGCTGACTTCCAAAGGGTAGGGAGTTTATTTTGCACGATGAGGATATTCCAGATCTAACTGGGGCAATGATTGTACTAGTCTGACTATCCCCAAAGCCCTTGAATGGCATGCTTTAATGGATAAATTGTACGGTATCTGAATTTTATCCAAATATAGCCGTGAAAATAATTCTAAATATAACCATTTGCTTGACAAAAAAGATCTATCGTTGACTATGAAAACTATGTCTAGGCCAGGCGTGGTGACTCACACCTATAACCCCAGCACTGGGAAGCGGGGGCAGGAGGACTGCTGTGAGTTTGGGGTCAGCCTGGGCTGCATAGTGAGGTTAAGGCTAGCCTGGGCTGCATAGTGAGTTCAAGGCCAGCATGGGCTGCATAGTGAGTTCAAGGCCAGCATGGGCTACATAGGGAGCCCCCGTCTCAAAACAACAAACAAACAAACAGACAAACAAAAAAGTTAAAAATAAATATATAAAAGAAGATAGCAGTGGTTTAAAAGAGGGCCAAAGCAAGGTAAGCTGCTTCATGAATAGGTTAAGCACTTTGCCCAGCAGGTGGTGCTGATGAGCCTGTCCTGAACTTCTGATTTAGTTCTAAGGGCCCGGGATTCCACTGAGCTCTAAGCTACTGACTGAGCCAAGAGCCAGGTAACACATAGTAAATCAGGTGGTTCCGGTGCCCATAGACCTCTGATGGCCGGAAAGTGGAATTCAGAGCACCCAGGAAAGCTTCCCTGTAGCCACTTGAGAAAGCACAGACTATTTTTTGTGGCTTCACCACCTAAGTTTACATGAAAATTATTATTTTTTATTTTTCATTTAATTTGCATTTTGAAAGTTATTTGTCATCCCTCTTCAGTGAAAAACAAAAAGAGAAAAATGAAGAAAGAGAAGGCATGGGAAAAGGAGATCAGAGTTTACATCTGTGCATACACAGTCTGGGAACCTGTCAGGCCTCCGCAGCAGCTGCCCCTTCTGGGCGGACAAAGCCTCGTCCTTCTCCAGGCCTGACCAAGCTGCTGTGATCCCTATCCCTATGGCAGGGGGCTAGCTCTGAGCGTAATGCTACATCCCTCACTCAACAGTAACTGTCCTTTGCCTCCCTTTCCCCATAGCCCTGGAGCCTGGGACCGCACATTTGCCATCCAGGTCTCAGACTCCATGACTGGCGCAGATCCTGCCTTTACCATCTGGGGATTCTAGACTTCCTCTCTTCTCTCTCTATTACTATTCATTTCCTTGCATGTGGGCCAAGCCTGACCTTGAACCCTGTGAACAAAATCTGTGTATTTAGAAAGGTTATTCCTGGCTTTCACCTTTGCAGAAAGACCAAAAGGGCGAGGGAAGGTGGTGTGAGGGTGGGGTTCGAGCTGCACAGAGAGGGGCCTGCCTTGGTGCTTCCTTGGCTACCCCCTTGCCCACAGGCTCCTAAATATCCTTGCTACTTACTCTTAGATTGGGAACAACACTTCCAACCACCCCTGAGCTCACTCGTGTTTTACAGTTCTTTAATTTTTAGAACTTTAGATACTTTTTATTTTTCCAGAGGATGTGTCGGTCTCCCCTCTCTCCCTCCCTTCCCTGGAGTGAGAAATTCAGAGACAGTCCTCAGTCTTCTTAGCCTTTTGTCGATTCTTTGCTCTTTGTTTTTTGGTTGTTGCCCGGCCTCCCTCACTGGTGCCGCCACACTCTCATTCCTAGTTGTTGGCTGTAAGCAGAGGCGGCTCCTGTGTGTGCTTAGCTGCTGCCGACCTGGGCAACACTGCCAAGCAGACTTCCGGTCTCCTGCCACACAGCAGCACCTGGACGGAGCCTTGGAGGTGGCAGCTGGGGTAAAATCCTACTGGGCTGGTTGTTCGGTGTTGCAGGGAATATGGGATAAAAAAAGGGGAGTCCTGCCGCTTTCTGCCCCACAGCTTTTGTCCAGGACAAGTTGTCAGAAATACAGGAAGAAACTTCAGTGCGAGGGTCAAGGTGGATCCCAAAATTCTACTTACCAAGGCAGCTTCTTCTTTGTGTGTCTGTTTGACAGACTGTTCTATTCTATTCGTGCTTTGATGAATTTGTTGTAACATAAAAATGGAGTACAGACCAGTTTAATCTCAGCATGAAGGGATTAAAAAAAAAAAGAAACAGGTTTTTCTGGATTCTGTTGTTCTGCAGATACAGTGCAGCCAGAGGGTTCCACTTAATGGAAAGGAATGGCAGCGGTGCGGAAAGAGTGGAGAGAGGGGCTGGGGATTTAGCTCAGTGGCTTAAGTGCCCGCTTTGCAAGTGTATGGTCGTGAGTTCGATCCCCGGTACCGAAATTAAAAAAAAAAAGAAAGAGAGCACCTGAGGAGCAAGTTTCCAGAAAGCCACAGGAGCTGTGAATTTCTGCCCCTCCCTCTAGTGGGGTTTAAGCAGCTAATTTGACTCCAGAGAAACCGAAAGTGAAGCTTGCATACCACATGGGAATGGTGGTGAGTACTACAGTGGGGCGCTAAGCTTGCTAGCACTCTAAGCAGGCTGCTAGGAATGTTGGGCAGAGGTCAGAAGACCAGAAGTGGGGCAGGGAGGAAGAACTGAGTGTCAGTTCTAGGCAGCTCTGAGGTTCCAGGTTGTAGACCTTAGGCTCTAGCACTTACTGCTAGCTTGCTCAGGGCAGGTGACAAGTTGAACCAGAGACCCCAGTACCTACCATGCACCTTATAGACTAGCAAAAGATGGCACATGCACAGCTGGACTTTCCATCCTGGACAGAAGACAGCTAGTCCTCCAGTTACAAGGCCCGGATGGGTTCGGTGGCCCCTCTGAGTTCAGTGGCCTCTCTGACCCTGGTGGCCGGGTCATGAGGAAGGGGAACATTGCATTGTCCATGTGCAGTGCTACTGTAATTCCAACTGCAACAATGTCACTTTTTATTCCCTCTACCCTGGCTGAGGATTCAGGCCTTAGCACACATCAGCCCGAGAAATAGCACAGCTTTGCACCATTTTGATGGAGACTCCCATCATCTGGAAATGTGACAGCGGAGTGTAGCACAGTAACAAATAACTGCCAGAAAATAAAGTGAAATGACCAAAAATTCCTATTTTTTCCTTTCTTTCTCCTACAGGATGGAATCTAAAACAGATTAAGTTAATACAATGTAATACACCGTGTGACAGAAGCATCATTAGATAAAGCTGGAGTGTAAACTCCTCAAAGGCGAGTTCCTGCAGTTTTGAGATGCAGCAAGTACAAACCCCAAGTGACTGAGGATGCTGCGCCTGACACTGGAGCCCAAACCTGAGGCCAACTTGTCCTCTGGATATCTTGCAAGAGACCAAGTGATCTCAGGAGACAGCAGATGACACCAAGGCATCCTGAGACAGAACAGAGAGGAGCAGGAAGCACGCGGGCAGGGCAGTGGGTGTGGGGAAAGGCCCAGATTCCGGACAGAGAGGGGTGAGTAGGGGGACAGAGCCCCATTCAGGAGTCAGGAGAGGAGAGACTGGGCAGTGCAGCGGCATCAAAATGCAGCCCTCACCAAAGAACGTGTTTCTTTTTCTAGAAATGTGCAATTACTCAGACTTGGTTTTGTTGTTTTGTAAACCCCTAACCTCATTGCAAAATTTTGCCTTCAAAGCCTGCGGCTTTAGCTGCTCTTGGTGGCTAGGAAGCAAGTCCCAAGAGACCAGTGGAGTCCTGACATAGAGAAATGAAACTCCCAACCTGCTATGTCCGGTGTGAGTTTGTGTTTTCTAAAATCAAAGAATGAATTGTAGGAACAACGGAAGTTAAGAGTAGAATATATGCTTTGAGAGAGAAAGCTTCTGTGTGAGAGACAGAAGGGGTCCTGAGCGGGTTGCCAGGGACTGTCTTTTCCAGGGACTTTTATAGAGTAAAATGGGGTGGGACAGGTTCAAGGTGGGGAAAACTGGGAATTCACAAAGTAGATGGGCACAAGGTGGGACAGAACTAAGGTTCACCAGTAAGATTATTAGTTAGGTAAAACTGATTACATTAGGGACAAATGGGGAAGCCAGTCACATAGAAAGAGGGCATTCTTAGAGAGCAGTGACTCTTCCGTAGGGGGTTGCAATGGTGACTCCTCACTTCCTCAGGGTGATAGCTATTTAGAATATCAATCATTAGGATATGGATGCATTTGTTTGATCTTTTTACTTGAGGCCTGGCCCACAGCAGGAGGTTCCTATCTCCCCCACAGCTGCAAGGTATCTAGGCTTCTGCACTGGCTCCTTTGAAGACCCAGCCCTGTCTCACTACCTATAATATTTCTAACCAACTCAGCTGCCTATAACAGTCTCAGGCTGCTTTTTGGTTGTGACCAAATGGAGATCCAGTGGCCAGGGTAGACTGCAGAAGAATTCTCCGTCTTCTTGTTTCAGTTCCCTGGGGTATTGTAAGAAAGCACCACAAATGGGGAAGTTTTAATAACAGAAATGTGTTCTCTCATAGTGGTACCGTGTCTAGGCTGAGCACTGCTGGGGTGAGCAGCTAACCAGGATCTGAAACTCAGTACCAGTAATGAATTAACGGAGTAGGAATTTAAGAAAGGAAGATATTATGCCTGTAAAAATGAAAAAACAGAAAGCTGCCTTAGTGGTGAGCATCGAGACTCTGGAAAGATGGTTTCCCACAGGCTTTTGAACTGGCTTCTTGTTATCTGATGTAAGGACCCTTCTTCCTGGGTGGGTACCTGGAATTTGGTGCACAGCCTGAATGGCTCTCTGAGCTGTCTTTGGATGAGCCCCAGGCCACAAGGCTCTAACCTGGGCACCCTGGCCTTATCCCTGGATTTATATGTTGGCTAGGAGGAGTTCTATAGAAAGACAATTTAAAGTTAGTGACTAAGGAGATGAGTGTTATCTAGTACAGCACTAAAGTGACGCCTAGAATGGAAATACTTACATGTATACAGTGATACCTCAGTTCACAAATTTAAATTCATTTTACAAACTTAATTTGTTCCATAATTCAGGGGAGGTAGCTGTGTTTGTGCAGGGTAGATGGCTGCAGTTGTGTTTGTCACCAATGCGGAGTTCAAGAGCAGAAGCAAAATTTTGCCAAATGCTTCTGTGTTCACCAGCCAAGGCATTTCTGTGCTTTTATATAATAAATAAGGTTTCTCTTTAAATTAGGCGGCCCCCTCCCCTTCTGTCTCCTTTGCATTTAATTGGAGGTGGGGAAGGGCGGCTATTTTGGTTGGAGCATCCTGCTTTCTCTGTGCAGTCTGTCAGGTCTGCCTCTAGTCTTTCAGTTTGCTTCTTGGGTTTTTTTTGTTTGTTTGTGTCATGGTTTATGTCTGTGTCCCCCAGGCCTCATGAGTTTGCATTGTGCATTTGTGATCAGTTCATTGTGTAGTGCTTGGATTGATGGTGTCAGTGCTCCACCCACATAGGAGTGGAGCCAGGATGTGATGTAATGGCAGGAAGAAGGTGTGTCTTGCTCTTTGCTGGTTCCTGTTTGCTGTTTGCAGCTGCCATGAACAGCGGCCCAGCCATACCTGCCTGCCTTGGAGCCAACTGAGTGTGGACTGAAACCTCCAAAAACTGTAAGAAATAAACCTTTCCTTTCCCAACTTTGGGCTTCAGGTATTTTATCTCAGCAATGAGTAAAAAGTAACTAAAACTGTTTGTTTTTCTTTTTTTGTCTCGAAACAGGATCTCACTATGTAGTTCATACTGGCGTTGAACTTGCTGTGGACACAGCCTGATGTCCAGCGCACAGCAGTGATCCTCCTGACTCCGCCTCTTGAGAGCCAGAATGACAGGTGTGCAGCCCTACTTTTCTTCTGGTCTTTTGATCTAAATCCTTGTGCCATTTGTGCTAATGCTTTCAAAGGAATTCCTTCCACTCCTTCTAGGCGAGATTAATAAAAAATAAAAATAAAAAAGAAAGAAAGAAAAGAAGAGTAAACCCTACTGCCCTGTTTTATTCTTTCCCTGACTGCCAGCCCCTTTTCCTAAGGTCTGGGGTGAGGAGCCCTCAGTCAGGCTGCTGGCGGAGCCGCTCTCCCTCCAGAGGCTCCAGCAGTGGCTCCTTCTCGCCTCTTCCCACCTTCTGATGTTCCCGGGGATTCCTTGGCTTGTGGCTGCACCCTTCCCACCACGGCTTCCATTTTCCCATGGTCATCTTCTGTGAGCGTCTCTGTGTCTTGTCCTCTTCTTAGGACACTATCTTTGTACTTAGGGCCCACATCAGACCAGTATGATCTCATTTTATCATATGCACAAAGACTATTTCCAAATAAGGTCACATTCCAAAGGCGGACACGAATTTTCACATGAACAGTATTCTTTTAATTTCATATTGGTGGGGCACAATTATAATGTAAAAACACACTTATAAAATAGTAAACTTATGAGTATTTCATGGTTAATTAGAGGTCTCTGACAAGTTTCTGTTCTGCTGCTTCTGCTGAAATCAGTTGACCTTGACAGTGCTAAAGCCCAGCGGCAGAGCTCTGATGAGCACTGAGTCGGCCATTGTCTGCACCTTAAGGCACCCTGGGCTAATCAGGGACACCCTGTCAGGGCCCCTCCCCTCCCAGGGTGGCTTCTATAAAGTTGTTTTTTCAGCATCATGTAGGAAATGCAGCTATAGACCTGAAAAGAGCCAGGCAAAAGGCATTGCCTTTAACAATGCGCCCTTTGTAGGCCACCCCCCCTTGTTCCTGGAGTGTTTCTATATTATAATAAACAATTCCTTCGTTTCAACAAATCTGCTCAAGCCTAGCCTGCCCGTCAATGTATGGCTCTATGTATGTAACCAGTTATGTAAGGTTTTGTCACTTGTTTTGTACCTCCCACTTCTAATTCTGTATAAACTAAGCTCTCTGTAAATTCACACTGTTGCCTTGAGGAATTGTCCCACCGCAGCCCGCTGGCGTGGAGATCCAACAGTCTGCCAGTGTAGAGATGAAGTGCCGCCTTCTGTCTCCCTGGTGCAGCCTTCCTTCTAGTTGGGTTTGGTTGGCTTGACTTGGGGATTTTCCCACAACAATATTGCTACATAGTACTCTACCATTTCCTTCATAACCGTTTGCCTGACTCTTGTCTCTCTTCTCCCACATCCTTAAGTTCCCGGGCAGTGCCTGTCATAGAATAAGACTTCCCAGTATCTATTGAATAATTCATTGCAGTCTTTAAGGGCACAAACAGTAGCTTATGTGCACTGATCCAAAAAGTTGTTTTTTCAGCATCATGTAGGAAATGCAGCTATAGACCTGAAAAGAGCCAGGCAAAATTTTAATTTGGGCACAGGACTTCTTTTTTTCTTAGCAGACTCAGAGTCTGCTCCCTGAAAGTTCACAACGGGCCCTTTGTTGATTCTTCTTCCACCTTCTAGGTGTCTTAGGACTTCTCTCTACCCACCAAGGCCTTCACTCTTAAGTTCTTCCAGACTTCCAAGTCTGTGCTGCTGCTCTGAGGCTCCAGCTCAGCTGGGCCTTCTGCACTCCCAAGGCACTGACAGGCAGAGCTTCCCAGGCGGAGCACAGTTAGTAGGTTAGTAGCCACCACTGGTGGTTGCGGATGCCCACTCACCTTCGGACCACTTCAGATTTCCTCCGAATTCTTCATGTTGCTCAGTGTTGTTGTGCGGGATCCTCCTGACACATTTATATATTGTCCCCTTTTCTCAGTATCCACTTGGAAATTGAAAACTCACTTGTGTGTTTTTCTCTCATATTTCCTCTAGGTGTCTTAGCTTTCTTTCTTTCCTTTTTGTCTCTCTGCCCTGCTCCCTGGGCAGATTCTCCATATTGCTTTTCAGTTTACTAAGTCCTTTTGTTTGATTGAGCCCAGTCTGGAAGCTATCCTACCCAGCGAACTACTTCAATGACTATTTTTCATGGCAGGAGTTTCTCCTTTTTTATATCTCTATGTTCTTGTTTCACAAGTACCCTCTTAAGTTTTGTAATTTCTTATTCTTTTTTGAGTATTAGTCTTGCATTTATTGTTGAAAGACTTTAAACATACTTCATTCTTTTACATACTTCATGTATATCCATTTTAAATATGTCCTAGTTTACATTTCAGCAGCAGTAAACCCACTTTCCAATTAATTTTGAGGGCTACTTTTCTTTTTGCTTATTTTTCTTATTTTAGGAACTCAGAAAATGTACCCCCCAGCTTGGGATTTTCATGAGTGGGAGAGTTTCAGAACCAGGTCTCTTTGAGGCCTCCTGACCCAGACTCTTGACCCTCTCTGATCCTTTTTGACTTCTGAAGCTCAGGAAAAAGCTATTGCTGAAGTTATGGATCCATAAGAATCAGAAATGGCCTTAAAATCTCCGTAAAATTTCACTAACCCAAGACATTAAACTTTTATGAAGAAGGAAGAGACATCAAGCAGCCTACCCAGAGCTGGGGGATGTTTATCGCAGGTCTTTCTCTGTTCTCTGGACTAACTAGTTTCCTCTAAAACTCATCTACTCCTTTAAGATGACCTATTGTCTCCAAGGATATTTAAGCTTCAACTATCTGGCTCTTTCTTTCAGTTTCATATTTGCTATGGCTTCCTTGTATATGCTTTGTCTTATGTTTGCTCACTGGGGGCAGCTGCCATGCCTTTTAGTCCATATGCTTTTAATTACAATTTTATAGCGCATGCAGTTGCTTTATTTGGATTTTAAGAGTGAACTCATATATTACCTTCATCAGAACTCACCTAGAAGGATTTCATTTCCTGGAGGGTAGTGTCCCCTTGCCTAACCCCAGCAAAACTCAGTATGCAGATGCCCCACAAGTGCCACCTGCTACTCAAAGTGGGCTTTCCCAAGTAGGAGGAGAGTAAAGTTAGGCTGAAGACACTGAAGGCTCAGAAAAGTTTGCATGTTCCAATCACTAATCTTAAAAGGCACAAATGTCTATTTCCTGGATATCCTCGGCCTCCTGGACCAGGTCTTGGAATTACTCTTCACTGTGGCCCTGACCACAGGAGCTCAAGACCCCAACCTTGAGCAGTCAGCAGAGCAAGCGCCAGGTGGCAGCCCAGGGCAGCTCCCTCAGGACAAGGGACTGCATTGGGTAAAGAGGCTGCCTCAGGTACACTGTGAGGGGAAACTGGCAAATGCTGTGGACTCTGGACTCAGGCTTGCAGGGCACAGGGGCTGCTCCCGGGCCATGCGGGCATCACAACTCACGTCCCTTTCCCGAGGAGCCTGCTTCCTCCTATTGCTGTCCCTCCTCCGCACCATGCCCATTCCCTCAGCATGCTCTGGGTCCCATTCTTTTACGGTTAGACAGAGGACACTGCCCCCAACTTCAAGCATTGCTGTTTTTTGGTGTCCTTTGCTTGAGCCCTGAAAGTTATGTCCTGTTTCAGAGCAGAAGGACTGTAACCCCCTGAAAGGATGATGGAGATTCTGGACACTAGAGCACTGTGCTTTGGGCAGGCCTCCCTTACCTCCCTATGCCACAGGGCTCGCCGCAGTATGTTGGGGACTGGGATGGGACGGGGAGACCTTAGGAATCAAGCCATGCTTCAGAGTTTCCCCTGTGCCCCTCATCAGGGAGGTTAAACAACCAGAGCTTTTCCAGCCACTGACACATAAACACACCCACATTTTTATCTTAGGGCTCAGACAGTTTGAGGCCAGCCCCAGGCGGTCAGGGACTAGAGCACCCCAGAGCCCTCCCCTTCTCCTGCTGCCTTTTCCAGGAGTCCAGGCGGGCCTCCGCTCCTGGCAGTACCCTGGTTTGTTGAGACACAGCTACATCTTGAAAGAGAAATGGCTGCGGCCCACAGCAGATTCTTCCAAGCCCCTGGAGCCTGGAGCCGGCGGAGGAGCGAGTATCACAGACCCTCTCTGATGAGCAGCAAAGGACATCGAGCAGGTGCCCCTGGGGAGGCACCTGGTCTCAGGCACCGCCTGGGACTGGTCTGTGTTTCTGCACACCCTTCTTCTCTTTCCTGAGTCGGGGCTGACTGGGCTGAGGCTGAGGTTGCCCTCACTGTGAGCCTGCAACAAGTGAAGGGCTCCTCTAGCTCCACTCTATCGGCTTTTGGAACTGCCACGTTTCTGGGGTGCCCTTGTAATCAAGAATTTATACATGGCTCTCCCCACACGGGAAGAATCCTGGAGCAGGATTTAATCTCCATCATAGATTGTGCTGAAGGTTACTTGTGATATAGAAAAACCAGCATGTGTATTTGAAGTAAATTCAGAATTGGAAGTTTTTGGTATTCCTGATTATATGAAATACCAGAGAGAATCAGTGATTTTATGCATTCTATGGTTTGTTAGTTTAAGTCCTGTCCTTGGTATTAGCAACATGAGTTAGGGTCAGACACTATGCTGGGTACCTAATGCAATGATTTTGCTAAATCACTGTGTGGTGGATACTATTGCCCATTTCACTGATGAGTAAACTGAGGCAATGAACATTAAGGTCATGTCCTGGGTCACACCACAAGGATCAGTGGTCCTCACCCCCATGTTCCTAATCATCACTTTACGTTCCCAACTTGCTCTACAGTCCTCACCAAAGTTTCCTTCATTCCCTGCTGCATGTAATCTCATTTGTGGGGGCTGAGGCTGAGATGGGGTGCTCATGTCAGTAACTCAGGGCCAGATAAGAAAATCAGAGCAGAGTTCAAGTGTGCAAACAGGACAACAACAACAACAAAAAATCAAGGATATAAGATCAAAGCAGTTCCATGAATTAGTTCTGATTCTGTTCCTCACTAAAATATGAATTATTCTAGAGAAGAAATAATTTCATGATGATAAAAATAATACTTTCAAAGTACTAAAACTGAAGATGACAGTAAGAATAGAAGACAGAACAAATTGCTCACAATTACTTCAATTCTTTGCTTATTTAAGATGAGAGCGATATAAATTTGAGGTTACATATCATCAAAGCAGAAATCTAAAAACATTAAGAGTTACTGTCAAACACTTGTGCATTTTCTACAGAAAAACGATCTGGTTTCTTTATTAAATAAAAGCATTATGTTCTACCTCCAATGAAAGGGTAGCATTTTACAGTGGCAAAGATTTTAAGAGATACATTAAATAAATGCAAAACTTAGGCCTTTGGGTTCTGATTAGAAAAACAGACTGTGTAATGACACCTGGGATAATGTGAAAATTTTGACCACAGGTTATACACACTGTGTTTGTTGATAGGAAGGTATTATTGCAGTGCTAATGATACTGTCGATACACATGTTACAAATGGCAGAGCAATATGCAACTTTATAATTTCTTTTTCATTAGTCTATGTTTTAGCAGTGTATGTATAATACATATTAGCTATATTAGTTGTAGGGAATTGGTATATAATATGTATGTTTTATATATAGTTTCTTGATCATGTTGGATCCTTTATACAATACAGATTTTAAATAATTTCTTGATCATATTAGATCCTTACCTTCCTTCTCTGTTTGTCCCTCTTCCTCAATCCCTTCCTTTTATTCAAAAAACCTGCCTCTCAGTTTTCTACCATGTTTTCTTTGACTCTTTACTTAATTTTAACCTTTCTCTTTAGAGAAGAGCACTTTGCATATTTCCTCAGGCCTATGGCAGGAACACTAGCCTTTCTCCTCTGCCCAGTGGATGGACAGAACCGCAGATGCTTTGTGGGCTCCAGGCCCAGCACGCGCTGGAAGAGGCCTACCCTGCAGGGAGGTGTCCATCTCCCTCTCAGCCCTGCTTAGCTGTACCAGAAATGTCTGCGCCTGCAGAATCGCTCCAAGGAAGCCCCAAGCAGTCCTGATAAGGGAGATCAGTGCCATCACCTACCTCTAGAGGCCCAGTGTTTGGGTCAGCGATGTGACTGCAGGAGTGGTGACCACTGCCTGCTCGGCCTGCTCCTTGCCCAGCTCTTGTTTTAGTGGAAAGTTTCAAACATGCACAAAAGTGGGCAGATGAGTATGAGTCTCCATGTTCCAACAAATATTAACTTGGGGCCCATATTGTTTTAGCAAAAGCCTCCTCCAGCTCCCAGAAAATTCTAAAGTGAATCCCAGACACTAAGATACTCGGATAACCTAAACATCCTAAAAAAAAAAAAAAAAAAAAAATCTCAGGAATCTTTCTCTGCTTCAACTTAAAACTATTCTTAGAGTCATGTAAGAATCTTTCAAGTAGGAGGTGGGGCGGAGGGTACTTTTTAAAACACTAATTCTGCTGAATCTGTGAGCACTGTCCTAAAATTCTAGCACTCTGGGAGGCTAAAGCAAGAGACCTGCGAGTTTGAGTTTAGCCTGGGCAACTTAGTGAGATCCTGGCTCAAAATGAAACAGGGCTATAGACATAGCTTAGTGTAAAGGCCTGGGTTCAATTCCCAGTATCACAAAAATGCATTTTCCTTGGCAAAAGATACATGAAGAGATGTGCAACATCATTAGCTACCAGGGAAATGCAGAGCAAACCAAGAGGCATCGTTTCATTCTTATGAGGATAATTACAGTAAAATAAATACATGGTGACTATTGCTGGTGAGAATGTGAAGTGGGAACCATCGCACAGGGCTACAGGAACATGGCATGGGTCAGTGGTGTGGGAGACAACTCCAATGACTCCCTTTGAATACAAAACAATTGTTGTGACTGATTACTTGGAGACTCATTTCCTTATACTGATGTGTAAAAGGCTGGCTAGGGTATTTCCTTCTCTCCAATTGGCTCTGAGCATTGCAAATAATAAGGCTGCTGGGGTGCTAATGTGCAAAGTCTATAGCCATCAGACAGTCCCGTTTCCTCGCATGGTGCTCTCCACAATACAGGATTGAGCTGGTGAGATGTTAGACCAAATAGCTCCTGGAATGTCAACTGGGCAGGAGCCTCAAGATAAGAGGCTATGACTCCTCAGGACACAAGAGTTTGCATATCAGAAACCAAAGTGATAGCCCCCAAAACAATTCCACTGCTACCTTAATTGGGCTATGTAAATTGGTCCTTCTGCATATCTTTATATCTGCAAATTACAGAGATGCCAATCTTGCACCTGGCCAGCCAGCTCAAGTTACTCAGTAATCCCCGACATCCTCACTATCACCCATCCCTGAGCCACCCCCCTTTATTCACAAGATAATAAATGCTGGGAGAGGCCTAGGATAGAGGCCTTTGTCCACACGTCCTCACAAGGACTGGACTTAGGACCCCTTGGCTGCCCTTAACTTGGAATATGCCTTTGTGTCTTTACCCTCACCGTGGATTGCACTGGTGATAGTAGATTGGAATTAACCTGCTGGGATTCCAATAACATCTCAATAGGTTTGTACATATGTCTTCTTGGATTGTGAGGAAGACTAGAGAGAGGATTGTAATATTTGGATGACTGAACTTGATATCTGGGTTTACAATAAGTGGCTGTTTCTTAAAGGATAGAATATGTGACACAGCTGTTCAACGCCTACTAGATGCACTCAAGAGAAGTGAAAACCTGTCTTCATCAAAACTAGCACACGAATGTTTAGAGCACCATTATGTTTCCACACTAGCCAAATAGTTGAAACTACTCAGATTTCAATCTATAACAAATGGATAAACACAATAAGATATATGCATGCAGTGAAAAATTATTTGACCACGAAAAGGACAGAGGTACAGACATGCCGCAGCATGAAGGAAGCTTGCAAACATATTAAGTGAAACAAAGAAGTCTGTGGACTGAGTTCATGAAACTTTTGAATATAAACTGCTTGAAAATATTGCCATTAGATTACTTTTAAGAATACACAATCACCCAAAAATATTAGTGATAAAGTAATTCCAAATATCACATCCTTTGGGCTGAGACAGTGAGCACCTAAGATCATTACAAGTGCAACAGCCCATGGGTGCCAAGGACATCTACCTGCCCACCCCACCAGCCAGCGTAACACATGCTCCCTCTGGGCCACTAACAGGATCCAGCCCTCGGATCCTGTGGCCTTCGGCCTTGCAGCCCTGCTCACCATTCTCCTGAGCTTGGGGTCCATTGGGCTGGTGTTCTGGAGCCTTTAGCACTTCCCCAGCATCCAAGGAATCTGAATGAGGAAGTCCTGCCAAGATGCCAAGTGCGCCTCATTAACTATTTCTCTGTGTCCCAACCCTCCCCATCCCCGGAAGGAAGATGAGGCAGACAGTGGATCCATTCACATCGGGAAACAAAGATGCTTCATTTAGCCTGACTTGCTGAGGAAGAAACAATGTGTTTTATAATGCACAGAATGCAGGATGAGGTAGTAGCCAGAGAGTCATCTGATGTTCTTGGAAGCCAGAGGCCAGCTCAGGCCACAACTCCTGGGTGCTTTGTTGAGGGGAGAGGGGTGGGGATATCACCTTTGAGACAGAGCAGCATAGGTGCCTGATAGAGGCCAGCAGTCGGAGCTGAGTTGAAGCTACACAGCCACCATTTCTGGAGGCCATCTGTTGCTCTGGGCTTTGCAGATGGAACATTACAGGTAGTGTGCTTGTCACCTAGGCAGGGCTGAATGACAAACACTGTAAAGGAGGAAGTGTAGGCTGCAGAAAAGTGCACTTCCCAGTCCAAAGCCAAGATGTGAGCAGCCTGAGTTCTTTCCAAGGCTCTGAGAGCCTGATCCTGGCCTCTCCCTCAGCTTCTGGTGGGTGCTGATGAGTCTGGTGAGCAGAAGCATCATCCTAATCTCTGCCTTAATCTTCACATGGCAATCTCCGTGTGTGTGAAAATGTGTGTGTGTGTGTGTGTGTGTGTGTGTGTGTGTGTGTGTGTGAGAGAGAGAGAGAGAGAGAGAGAGAGAGAGAGATGGCATCATAGTGGTGGGAGTGTGTGTAAGAGAAATTGCTTGCTTAGACAGCCTGACAGGTTCCAAGGCCAGGCTTGCTTGCTTTATATCTGTTGTCATGGGAACTAACCTGGTTCCAGAGAGAACGGCTCTAACCCTGAGGGCGTGCCCCAGTGCCCTAACTGCCTCCCACGACCCCTCACCTAGCAGTTCCGCAGCCTGTCTGCCATGGCACACCGAGGATGACGCTGCCTGCACGCGAGCTCTTCTTCAAACCATGTCCAAACTTCAGTACCGCCCAGACCTGTCAGCTGCACATCCCACTCCTTTGATAGCACTTGTGAGGGGTAATGACTGGACCTAGTTTTTCCTCTAACTTGCTATGTCGGGGCCACAACTTGTGCTTGTGAGCTGAACGTGGTATCTATGGTGCTGGGCAGGGAGAATACACTCTCCTTCCATGCCTGGTAAATGAGGGGGAAACAAGGCCCAATTACATGACAGCCACCTGCTTGGTGATGGGACACAGGGATGCTGGCTGTGTGAATGGTGGGGAAAGTGCCAAGCCCTGCCCTTCAGGAGACTGTACCATCATTCGGAAGGCAGGACACATGTATGAAAAGATAAATTTACATCTTCTAGACTGACATTTGAAGCATGTGGTAAGCTGCTGAGTGGACTGTGCAGGTGGAGAGTATGGGCAGAAGAGGACACCATGGGGAGGGGCCGGGACAGTCACCAAGGAGCGAAGAGGGAGGTAGAGCCTTCTGGAAGAAAAGGTGGTTTGAAGAGGTCGAGACTTTTAAGCCAGAGGAGCTTCTGCTTAATCATGTGTTCCTGCGATCTGGTTAGCGCCTGTTCCTTGAACCAGGTCTCTTCGAGAGTAACAGGTTGGGCAGAATTCTGCAAACCATTCTTTTACTTACGAGTTAAATGGTCCATGTAAGAGTCATTCTTTTATGATGCCAAGTAACAAGTTACACTGCATGTAGATGTTTACAATGCTGAGGAATGAATCATGGGCTCCATTTCACTGTGGGCCCAAGACAGTCCACGTCTGCATTTTTATTATGAAATGATTCAAAGGAAATGAAGGCTACGGGCACTGACTTACTAGATTTGCTTCCTGTTTGCCACTCGGCAGGCTCTCTAAAGGGGATAACATGAATGCTGAAAATTTTCTCTAAAAACCAAAGAAAAAAGTGTTAGCATTTCTTCTAATGTTTTTTAGAAAAACACTTTATATTTAATTGACAAGGTCATACAGATTCAAGGTGTACATGATGATTTCATATGTGTGTAGTTTGTATAATGATAATAAAAATAAAATTATTGTCCTGGTCCATTATGTGCTGTTATAACACAATACCACAGATTGGTAATTTATGAAGAACAGAGACTTATTTATCACAGTTGTAGAGGTTAGGAAGTCCAAGGTAACCATGGACATATCAGTTTTCATTTCCACTGACAATGCACAGGGCTCTATTTTCTCCACATCCTCTTTGACCTGGGTTACTGCTTTTCATAAACTGCCAGCCTCCCAACAATGAGCTGATGTCTCTGGTGTTCTAATTTGCATTTCCTGAATGATTAGTGATGTTGAGTATCTTTTCATGGTCTTGTTAGCCATTGTATCTTGTATGTCTTTCCTTGAAAACGTATCTACTTGGTACTTGTTATGGATTAAGAACTGGTGGTCAACTTAACACCAGCTGGATTACATCAGCATGACACTGGGCAAAGATGCCCCACCTGAGGAAAGTTGCCAGCATAAATAGGTGGAGAAGGAGGGTGTTAAGGTGCTGAAGTGTTAATGCGTTGTTGCATTGAGGTATTGTGGGTTTATTGTGGGTTCTCCTATGAGTTGCTGTTTGAGCCACTGGTTCTCTTGGAGAAGCTTTGGTCCTCACATTGAGCATTGCTTCCTGGCTCTGGAGGGGAAGATGTGTGCTGCTTGGTCTCCAGTATGAACTTGTCGTGCTGGCTTCCTGGCAGGTACCTGACTGTGCCTGTCATTGAAGGAGCTCAGGGTCTCTGTGTCACTGAGGATGGCTGTGGTGCCTTTCAGACAGCCCTGGTCTTGGTTGTGTGACTTCTGAGCTCCGGAGTAGAACCCTCATCCCACCAGCACAGCTCCTTCACCCCACTGGCATGGACTTTCTAGCTTCCACCGCTGACCTTTGGGTCTTCCCAGCACGGATCCGTAAAAGAGACTGGTGTGAGTCCTTCTTGTGGGCTCTGGACCTCCAGTTGGACTCATGGGAAGCACTGTCATGAGTTCTGGGTTTTCATCTAGACTCATGTGGGACATTGCTGTGGGATTTAGGCCCTTCACTAAATATTCTATGTCTTTGGTGTTACAGATAGATTTCCTGCATTTTCTTGTGTTAACTCCAGGTGACAATTATAAATATAATATTATAAACTCCATGTCCTGATTCTAATTGTTCTTTGTGTGCAACTCCTAACTACAACAGTACTTAATCTATTTTTCAGTTGTATTTTTGTTTTGTTCTATATTGTTTTTATTTTTGCTATTGAGTTCCTTAAATATTTTGGAAAGTAACTCCTTACCAGTTATATGGTTTGTAAATATTTTCTTCCATTTCATAGATTTTCATTTTGTTGACTGTATCCTTTGTTGAGATTTTTAGTTTGTAATCTCAATTGTGCATTTTTGCCCTTGTCATCTGTGATTTTTGTCTGTTTATTTTTGAGACAGGGTCTCACTATGCAGTCCAGTCTGGCCTTAAACTCTCACTGTGTAGGCCCGGCTGGTCTTGAACTTGTGGCAATTCTCCAGCTTCAGCCTCCTAAGTGCTGGGAATAAGGGCACGTGCCATCACATCTGGCTCTGTTACCTGTGATTTTGAAGTTATATTCAAGAAGTAAACTCAGACCAATGTCAGGAAGACTTTTCCTGTTTTCTTCTGGTAGTTTCCTAGTTCATGGTTTTAAGTATTTAAGTCTTTTATACATTTTGAGTTGATTTTTTAATAGTGTGGGTTGTGTCTATTTTCATTCTTTTGCATGTGAATATCCAGTTACTCCATATCACTTTCTCCGTTTTGTCTTCTTGGCTTTGTTGAAAGTCAGTTGATTATAAATACTATTTCCAGGCTCTTGTTTTATTGGTCTATATGTCTGTTTTTATGCCATGATGTTTTGATTACTTTTTAGATTTTTAGTAGAGTTTCACTGGGGCTCCAGCTCAGAGGTATGACAGCAGTATATAATACAGGTAAGACACATTTTTCAGTTACAAGAGGGCTGGGCTGGTCAAAGACCACGTGACAGGATGTTCTTGGCCTTTGCTGCACGGAGTGATTGACAGGTGAGCTGGTGGGCCATGGGAAGTGGTGGGATGAACCGCTGATGTGGCCAAGGTTCCAGAACTGAGGAACAACGCATTTTTGGAAAAGTACACGGAAACAGATCACGGTTAAGTAGTAACCTGACTGTCTGCTAATTGGAGCTACTGCGCTAGAAGGAATTTGCTTGTGTCAAAGTCCTGAGTGTCTTACTGTCTTGCGTTGAGGCACCAGAACTTTCCAGATCATTTGCTGATCTGTTTTGGCTGTTTGCTTAAACATCAGCCTGTCTGTAAGCCAGCAGTGGGTCTTGCCACAAGTCATGTAGGCCCAGGACAGACCCTAAATTTATTTTTGTGCCAATTTATAAATATTAATCACTGCCAGTGCTGCATCAAGCTGGCCCTAAGCATAGTTTGAAATCAGGTAGAGGGACACTTCCAGATTTGTTTCCCTTTGTTCATATTGCTTCCGTTACTCGAGGTCTTTGTGGTTCAACATTAAATCTTTAGGATTATTTTTTATTTGTGGAAAATATTGAAACTTTGATAGGGATTTCACTCAACTTGCTTTGAGCAGTGGGAACACTGTAATGATTTAACTCTTATGGTCCATGAACATGGGCTATCTTTCCATTTATTTGCTTCTTGTTTTTTTTTAATCAATATCTTTTCATTTTCACCATACAGATTTTTTACCTCCTTGATTAAATATATCCACAGGTATTCTTTATGATGCTATTGCATGTAGAATCATTTTTTAAATTTCTGTTTTGGATATTTTTAGTTTATAGGAATGCAACTAATTTTTGTGTGTTAGTTTTTATCCTACAACTTTACATGTGTTTATTAGTCTTCAGAGGTTTCAGTAGGACAGCTTCCTGTTGACTGGAGCAGCTCGGTGGGTCTTGAGCCGGCCTGCCCCATCCCCAGTGACCCTCTCTCAATCCGGGGAACCGGGCGGCCAGAGTGCTAGGAGCTGAGGGCATAGAAGAGGATTTCCAACAGGCCCTGGGGAAACCTTGGAATAACACTTGAAACACAGAAATATAGGGAAATGATAAAACGAAAGATCAAATTACAATCTCAAACCTCCAGCCCATCCCAAGAAACCTTAGGAGATATGTACATAGAAGAAAATAATATGCCATACACCTGAAATATCAGATATAATAGCAACTGAAATACAGAGGTTTCAGTGGATTTTTTTAGATGTTCTATATATATGATCATGCCATCTGAAAACGGACACTTTAACGCCTTTCTAATTTAGATGGAAATGTTTAACGCCTTTCCAATTTAGATGGAAATGTTTTGTTTTCCTTGGAAGGTGTCACGGTACCATCACAGTGTAACAGAGGACCTGAAAACTTGTCCTCTGCATCTGTTCTCCCTCTCCTAGGCAGTCACAGGACTCTCTCCTCGGCATGCTTCCAGCCTCTCTTGCAGGGGGGCGTGGCCATGTGACACGTTCTGGATAGTAAGATGCAAATGAAAGAAACCTGCTAATCCTGCTTGAGCCCCTCAGGGTGGGGCGCACACCCTGCCTTCCCCTTTCCCTCCTCCTACGGGCTGCCATCACAACCAGCCCTGGGTTTGCCACAGACTTTTACAGGATGGACAAAAGCATAAGTCATCACGCGCAGTTACTTTTTACAACAATGCCCTAATTTATATCCTCCCTAACTAACACACTGAAGGACCCTAAACACTCCCAGCACATATTTTTCTTTTCTTTTTTTCTGACAGATTCAAAAAATGCCAAGAACAAAAGTACACTGCCCTTCGGGTCAAAGATGCTTCACTCAGCTTATTCTCTACTCCACTCATTCTCTTCTAGGTCAAAAATGTGGTGCCATTTAGGTTTGTCCTAAATCGGACAAGGCTGCTGTGTTCTCCTTGAAGACAACTTCTTACAGGAACAGCAGTGCAGGATAAGCTTTGGATTTCCCCCAGGCACCCTCCCTTCGCAGAATAGCTTCTCCTTGGACTGCTGCTGAGCACTGGCCATTCATTAACACTGAATTCAGCTTCTACCCCTTCAAGAGGTAAAGTGCACAGATTCCTCAGATAGAACAAGGCTTGGGGCACTCAAGCATGTAAAATTATTGATATTAGGTGTTTTTTTTTTTGGTACCAGGGAATTGAACTGTGTACTTGCAAGGCAGGCGCTTATGCCACTGAGCCACTGAGCTAAATCCCCAGCCCCTAGAGTTTTTTTTTTTTTTAAGAGAAAATATGCCTCCCTAAAGGACTGGGGAAGGGAGGACATGGTTAGGCAGACAGGAGTAGGAAAAATTCTCTGGCTCCTAAAGATATGGAGGTGATTTCAGGACAGAGGGGTACATGGGGAGTGCAAATATTAAAAAGATGGGGTCACCAGGCCTGAAAAAGTCACTTCCAGCATCACCATTCAATTCTGTTAAGTGCTGGGTACAAGAGGCTCTTGAGTGAAAATAGCAAAGTGAACAAAATATAAACTTTGTAAGAAATAAGGCTAGTACTTCAAAATGGACAGCAACACTTTTGCTACTGAGTTTTGGCTTTAGGCAGCCACAAAGTAACTACATAGCACAAGCTCCTTGAGCAGTTTCTTGCCAGTGACAGGTCTCACAGTCCGAGTTTGCAGACACCCTGCTGAAGTTCCTGTGGCTGGCAGCACTCAGATGCCCACAAGTCCTTGGGAAGTTTCACCGTCAGTAAGATGCCTCCAGGGGGGCTGATTTCCAGCAGGTTCTGTCAGCACTCACCACAGTGGCCGCGCTTCTGGGAGCTGGGCTATGGCCATCCTTGCACCAGGAAGGTCTTTATGAAGCTTCTGGGTATAGGCTCCCCTTGAGTGTTCAGTCTCAGTGGTCTGCTGCTTACAGCCACTCTTTCAACTCCTGGGTTGCATACATATATTACGACTATAAAGTCCACTTCCAATCTTAAAGGTCTGGAAATGAAGTCATTCCTACTTTTGTGATTCTAATTTAAAGACATGCTTCATGAAGACTCCCTGACCTACGTATGCCACTCGGGGTTCTCTGGCATGAGACCTCCTTGCAATGGGCTCATGACCAACTGGAGTACACAAGACACAGGGGCTACTGCTGAGGTTTCAGGACAGGGGCCTTAAAATTCTTTTTGCAGTATTAGAAGCTGAAAGAATTATTTCTTATAGTCCTGATGAGAGGCCTAGTGGTGGAGCACTGAGGACTGGTAACACAAAATGCTGGCTCCACTGAAATGCTGACTGCACTGAAAGCCAGGTTCCTTTCTCTTCTTCTTTGTTAAATTTTCACTTTGAAATCAGACTTACACAAAAGTTGCAAAAGTACTTGAATACCCATATACTTTTTTTTTTTTTTTTTTGGTACTGGGGATCGAACTCACAACCTCCCACTTGCAAGGCAGGTGCTTATGCTGCTAAGCTAAATCCCCAGCTATCCATATACATTTAACTCAGCCAGTGTCTTATATAACCATGGTAAAATGATTAAAACAAAGAAATTAACACCAGTCAGATCTTACTCATAAGTTTATCAGTTTGTGTAATGTTTTTGCAAAGAGCTTGAGGTTGTCAGAATCCACATCCTCCCCAGGGCACTGTGTCTGGGGGATGCAGCACTATGAGTTATAACAGCTGAGATCATTGTGGCCAGAAGGTTGCCAGGTCTTACTACAGTAAAGACAGTTTTCCCCTGCAGATTAAAATGTTGGAGACCTACTTGCTGGAGCGTGAAACTAGCCTGATTCTAAATGCTTGTCTACGTTAGTGTACTCTGGGAGGCTCTTGCTGCGGCAACTGAGGCATTCATTCCGATGGCAATTTCCCTACGTCCACTACTTCTCACTGATGAAATGGAATTCTTCAGGTCTCACTCCTCTGCGTCCACGTATTCATCTTTTACTTGCACTAGTGGAGACTGAGGAGCAGTTATTTATTCTGTGGGTTATAACTCAACACTATTTATCATCATTTTCTTGCTCTGATTGTTTTTGAGCTTGTGTGCTTTTGGTCTGGCTCCATGTCCTCTGATGCCACTTTCTGCCACCAGAAGCTCCAGGTTCGTACTTTGCTGTCTCAGCCATGGGATCAACCTCTCCAAGGAACCCTGGTCCCTTAACCAAGTTTACTGGTAGGTCTTTGATATCAGCCGCACCACCAATTGTTGTTCGAACCATGCCGACTCTGACTCAGCGGCAGTAACACACAGGGCCAGCCCACCTCTCTGCACACAGGGAATGATGAACGAGTACCCATATATGGATTGAGGAGAGCAGCATGCTTACTTGGAAAGATCTGAGTCTTGTTTTGGAAACCCCGACTCTAAGCTGAGTCACCCAGACTTTACCTGACAAGCACAAGTGTGTTCCAGAGATAGGATAAATGGTCCCCAAGCACACATGTGCTCTGCAGGTAAACCAGATGCCACTTGATGAGCACGTGTTCCACAGGTCGGAGGGCACCTAACAAACACACACGTTCCACAAGTAAGTTAAGCACAGCGATTCCCTCAGAGGCTTCAAGTTTGCTTTTATTGAGCAACACAGATTGAGATGAACCAGTTCTTCCCCTGGACAATTAGGGAGGTTCTGAGGGCTGGGGACAGACAACACGGGTGACAGTCAAAGTCTTGAGAAAGAACAGAACAATATGACAGCAAGGGGTTACCTAAGAAGCCCCTGAATGTTTTCATTTCCTTTCTGAAGATCCAGAGTGTGAGTTACCTGATAGAGAAGGCAGCAAGGGCAGGTCGTCCCCACCCCTGACATCTCCTCCAGAGCTGCTGAACCCCGGGTGCACCGGCTTTCCGGAGGTCAAGTCACGGGCCGCCTCTGAGAATCTATCCAGGGGTCCTGACAAGCCCCCAGGATGACGGGGCCCCAAATGCTGGGCACACCTGACTCTACCTTCCCAACAGCTAGACAAGTGGCCCTTCTTGGAAGTCTGTGCATGACCTGAGAAGAGGAAAAAGGGGAAGGAACTTCCACTCTGTTGAGTTAGTCAGAGAGGGCAAGAGCAAGGACAGAGGCTGAGGTGGGTTTCCTGCTGGTCATACATGGCGCTCCGTGGAAAATGGGCCTCAGTCCTTCAGCTGAGACACTTCATACAGGTACGTGGCCAGCATCTTGATTCCTTCTATGTAGTTATGCCTGACGGGAAGGACAAATCTCATCAGCAGGTGATAACGGCATTAGCACCTGGATGTACAGGGGTACTTCCCAAGGCACAGGCTGCTTCCTTCCGGGAAGCACTTCCCATCTCGGCTTGGAATCTGGTTTAGAACTCAGCCGTCTGATTCTCAACCACAGGGCCAGTCTGACTGCTCTCCCACCAGAAGAACCAACCTTGCCTTGGCCTAAGAATGTAGAGGTCTCACCCAGTGTCTTGGTAATAAACGGCTTACCCTACCCTAGGACCCCTGATCTTGTTTCTGAAATCCAGGCCTGCACCTTATATGCTAGTATCCGGTCCCTGTCTCCTCTAACCACACCTCCACAAGTAGTCTCCTGCCTCCTAGTGCCACCTGTCTACCTGGTCACCCAGGATGGGGCCCTGCTTCCGGCCTTCCTTAGCAGCTCCAGGCACAAGAAGCCCCTTTCTGCAATGCCAGAGCCCCACCTGCCTGAGTCTCTCCTGACTGCAGTAGCCAGAATCTCTCTCCATCCTGTGGGGCAGAAGAACCCCATCTCATGTGCTTAAGCCAAAAATGTGTAAAAGCAGCTTAAGTAGTTAGCAATGATGTTACAATTGTTCAAAAGGGAAAGCAGAGAAGCCTTCATCAGTGGTAGCTGAAGAACGCAATGAACACAGAACTTTGCTTTCACCATCAGCTACCACCAAGGTCTTGTCCCCGCTTCCCATCAAATCCAGACTGGAGGAAGGGTGGTCTTGCAATATCCTACTCACTTCTCTTAGCAGTAGTGACACTCAAACCAACCCGGCCTCAGGATCCAGGTCTTCGAGTCTCACCTGTTGAGTTTTTCATTCTGAGAGTGCGCACCATCATCTGCTGACCCCACTGGCAAGAGCATCACGTTCTTGCCTGTGGCCTCCTGGAAGGTCAAGGTCACAGGGATACTGCCGCCTTCCCTGGTCAAGTCTGGCTCAACACCAAAAACTGGAGGAAGGAAGAAAAAAGGTGAATTCTGGGGTCCTGAGGTTGGAGAGCTGTCACAGAGGCAATATTGAGTCTACACCTTGAGGATGGCAACCCTGCCCGCTACAGTGTGTAACCAGACGTTCCCCCAAAGTCGCAGGCACTCACAGGGGGGGATTTCTGCAGGTGGCTGGGTGACTGTGTGGGAATGCAGACTGCGGGTGTGGATAATGGAAGCCCCACCAGGGGTGCGGGAGGTCCCTCCACAGGCTTGTAGCCTGGATGGAATATGCAGGGACAGGAAGAGGGCAGGCTTGCTGCTACTGTTCTGCTGCTCGCTGCCTAGTGCTCGCCATGTCACGGACTGCTTCTTCCTGTGATGCCCCTCTGCCATGCTGCCCTGCCTTGGAACCAGCTGACTGCGGACGGAAACCACTATAAACTGTGACCTGAAATAAACCTTTCCACTGTGTCTTTGGTGTCGATACTCTGTCTCCGCAATGAGCAAAGTAACCAAGATACTGCCCTTAAGGAGTTGGCAGTCCAGGCCCCATCCCACAGCCTGCCTCACAGCACTGCAAACATAGCCATGTGCTCAGCAGGACACAGAGGAGTCCTCGGGCATGCTGCAGGCCCTGGTATCGATCCTTAAGGGGTGTCCAACCTGTTTTTAGAGCTCTTCTTCCAGCCATATAATGTGGGTGGTTGAAGTCAGATACCCAAGGCTTCCCACCATGGCCCATGTACACCTTAAATTTGTTTGGGCTGTGTAGGTCAGCAAACTTCTTAGTCAAGTAGCTTGTAACCTAAACCACAAACAGAAGGGACACACAATATTTAATATGCTTGGCATTTGGTCCAGTGTTACTGATTTACAGAGGAATCATCCATGATGGGTCTAGAACAGATTTACATCCAGTCTGCAATGAGTCTACAAAGGTCTACAACAAATCTACAGTGAGTTTCACGCTCTACTCCTGAATACTGATCTGTATCTTTATGATAGCAGGAAAGGGGACTTACGATACAAAATCCAGTTATTTGAAAGGCAGTGTTTTAACTTCAAGCAATTCATTATTTACTTTGGTGTTCTAAATGATGATGATAATTGAGTTTTCAAAGATGTTCTGTTTTGCTTTATGTTCTGTATGGGATGTTTGTATTCTTCGCAAATTCCTATGGTAATATGTTAAGCCTCACTATCTTGATACTTGAGAAAAGGCCCTTATGGAAGTAAGCAGTCAAATGAGTCATAGGAGTGGGGCCCTAATTAGATAGGATTAGTGTCCTTTTAAGACCTGTCTCCAGAGGGTATGTGCCTGCTCTGCACTATGGGAGCACACAGCGGGGAGAAGCTGTCAGTAAGCCAGGAGAGGACCCTCATTAGACACTATTTGCTAGCACAAGTTTGAGAAATAAGCTTCTATCATTTAAGCCACCCAGTCTGTGGAATGTTTTTACAGTGGCCCTAGCAGACTGATACACTTTATAAAAGAGATCACAAGCTAGAAGCTAGATTTCACTTAAATGTACAGTGAATCTAGAAGCTGACCCCAGGATATGGCCTGAGACAAAAGCCTCAGTTCTCCCAAGGACAGCAGGCCACAGTGTCCTCCTTCTAGTGGAGAACACTCTGAGCCCATCTCTCCATGACATCTGCCTGGACCCATCCTGAGTGACTGCTCCATGAGCCTGGCTGACTTGCAGTTCCTGGAATCCTTCCTGGTGCTTGTCATCACCATGCAAGGCAGCTCTCCCGTACTTTACCTGATACATCTGCTCCAGTCATTATCTGACCAGCCTCGGGTGAGGGCAGACGGTGGCACACGCCAGCAGTCAGTATGATGTGTGGTCATATGGTCTTTACCTCCGCTAAGTTTCTGCATTGCTTATTCTAGTCATTATTGAGTGACAAAGGAAACGGTATGCAAGAGGCTAGTTTCCTGCCCTATTGAAATCTTCCCAAAATCTCTGATGATACATCAGCTCCCACCCCCAGCAGCGCCTGGGGGCCCCACATGCCTGCTCGCTGACAACTTCAGGGGTCATGTTGGGCACGAGCCTGATGGAGAACTTGCCAATCACTTTCCTAGGAATCACAGTCTTGGCCCCAGACCCAGAGAAGGCGCCTTCGATGCCATGGAGGGAGAGTGACGGGTACCGCCAGCGGTGCATCAGGATATCTTTCTGTAGAATCACAACAGACGGGGTCAGGGCACAACCCCTGCTTGGATGGGTGTCATCTAGGCTGTCAGCTGTTCCTGAGTCAGGCCTGGCTAGGGGTCCGACAGACACAGAAAGAGGCAGAGATGTGAGACTCACCCAGCGAGGGCTGGCTAGGGGTTGTCACACACCTCAAAGGATTGTGCTGGCCTCTGCAGCCTCAGGAGCTGATGCTGTGACACTGGTGTGACCTGCTCTGCCCCTCGGAGTGTTCGGCTCCCAAACAGCAAGCTGCATTTCTGTTCTCTGACTGCATACACCAACCTCTCTCCATCTCCCTGCAGGGCTCTGTCTCACTCCTGGGCATCGTCACTCCCGGGCCTGACCACTCTCCACTCAGGCAGGACTGCAGTCCTGTGCTCAGCCCAGCCTTCAGCACATCCATCTGGAGTTCCGGATTAAGATGAAACTGGGGCTGAGACCCGCCTATTCCTCTCCTATCGTCAGGCCTAGAAGCTGGGCCTGTGGCTGCATTAGATTAATCCTAGCTATAGGAAGTCTATGAACTGATATTCACACCTCACAAACCAAGCAGTTAACTACAAGAAAGGTCACATGATTTTCTCCAACAGTTAAGTAAACATTTTGTGCCAATAGCTTCCACCTCCCTCCCCACTTGGGCCTGTCAGGCACGGCTTACCTAGATCAAGTTACCTGACAGCAGGCGACAGCCCACCTGCTCCTTCTACACAGTTCCTCTCCTTGCCTAGTGGGAAGTGGATTCTGACATTTTAAAACCTTCACTCCCAACATGCCCACTTCTGCTCACTGGGTGTCTATACCACCTGAGGACTCCTGAGCACATGCCCAGGAGGAGCTCCCGGACACGGGACATGGGGGACGCCTGGAGGCTTGTGGGGGCACCTTGCAGCTGTGCAGAAGGGTCTGAGCGCCGATGTCCTTGGCGAACTCCTCCATGTCAAAGTCAATGTGGTCGTAGAGCTCGTGCTCCTCTTTGGTCAGCGGGGCAACAGCCTCGTTAATGCCAGGGATGAGGATTCTCCCCTTGTTGTCTATCAGAGAGCCTGAGGGTAGCCACAGAGGATTAGATGCTCAGTTGAGGATGTGAAAGCAGCAGTTCTCAGCCACAATGATTAAAGCAAGTCAGGCACAGGGAAACCCACAGGTCACCCTCCTGGGCACGTGAGAGACACAGGTCAGGGGCAGCAGTGGAGGGCTCTGACGGAGCCTGCTTCCTTTGGACTGATTCTAGTAAGTCAATTAATTATCAAAATAGCCTAACAAGGTGAGTGGGACCTTATTCCCACTTTTTAGTTCAAGAATGCAAGAAGAGGTGGAAATTCCTCTGAAATTTTCCTCAGTCACACACCGGGATACTAAACAAGCACCCTGCTACAAGCAGGCTCACTCTAAAGCCTCAACACCATGCAATGTTTGTTTACAACACACTTTCCCCAAGAAATACACTGCTTCCAAGGTGAGGAGAGAAATCTGGGGGTAGGACAGAGCCAGCTGCCCCCAGCCAACCTCCTTCTCCATCCTTGAGGGGACAAAAATGTAGCTCACTGAACTGTGTGTGGACTTGGCCTTACACCAGGAAGATTCCAGGAACAGAAAACCATGGCTCTTGCTCTCCAGGAGCAGATGAAGCAGGGGGACCCACATGGGACCAGTTACTAAAAAACAGGCCACCTCAAATGCCCTCTGGTAGGTGTGTAATACAGTGCCCAGGAGAAGGACAGTCTGCTGTGGGCCTCTGGCTGGCTGGATAGGACCTGGGTATTCTGTGGGATTCAGGAGGTGGGGCAGAATTCAGCAGGTGACGGTAAGGCCCAGGAGGGGCCCAGCAGAACAGGAAGAGGACAAAGGCAGAGATGAGGCAAGAGGGCCTTAATACAAAGTGAGGCGAGGGAGACAGCGGAGGAATCTGATTGTAAACAAGGCAGTGACTTCATAAAGGACACTGGCTGAGATGCACTAAGTGCCAGTGACAGACGGCTTGGACACAAGGCCTCTAAATCACAAAGTGTTGACTGATGCAGAACCAAGCCTGCACTCACCCATCAGTGAAATGAGATCTGTCATGGCCTCATGGACCGAGCCACCATACACCCCAGAATGGAGGTCTTTGTCACTGCATTCCACCTGGACAGAAACAAAGGTCACTTTATTTGACTGCTTTCGGGAGCTTATTTTTTATCATGTGACAGTGCACTAAACAAAGAACATTTGTATCGCTCGACAATTTTCCAAATCAAAATCTGCCCCCTTAAGGAGCAAAGCAAAGCATTTCACCAATTAGAAAATTTAGATGACAAAAGCCAGTCCCAGACGCGCTAACCACAGGCGCTAGGAACGCTAACGAGAGGTACAGGAATGCTAGACACAGGGAAACCGGATATACTCATCAGGTAAACTGTGAATGCTGGTCACAGGCAAGTGCGAACTGCATGGTAACTCACCAGGATGCAGGGTTTTCTCCCCAAGGAAAGACAGGGCCCATTCCTTACAAACACCCTGCAGCTATCTCGGATGAGAGTGATATATAGTATGTCTCAGGACCAACATGGACCTGGAGGCCAAGTTCTCGGGTTCGATTTATGTGACCCCCTTTCCGACTAGCCCTATGAACAGGTAAGGCAGTCAATGGCTGTGTGGCCCCATCTTGGGTAACAGGAAGAACACTTGCGACCTAGGGTCACTTGTAGCCTGTATAGCCAAGCTATGACCACAGTGTGTGCTCCATGTACCAATGGCCGAGATTTCCGTGGTGCTCAGGTGATAAAAGACCCCTTGGCCAAGATTCACTTTAACCACCACAGTGCCTGTCCGGGAGGGACCTGTCCACTCTACATCCTACCCTGGCTTCCCGTTATCTACTGCAGGTCTCTGCTGTGGCCTGCATCCAGATGTCCCCCCAAAACCTGATGCAGTCGTGGTGAGGAGTTGTGAAGGTGGCTGGACTAGGGTGTGTGAACATGAAGGAGGGCGTGACGCTGGATTGAGGGTTCCCCACGCGTGGTGTGGGTGGCACCACCTGGAAGGCAGGTACCACAGAGAGGATAAAGGAGAATGGGAGGGGTCAGGGCTGTGCTGCTCTGCTCCCCCACTCTTGCCGTGAGGTCTTTCTCCTCTGGATGGTCCCCTGCCCTGCTGCTCAGCCTTAGGGCCAGCTGAAGAATCTGTAATACACCCTGTAAACTGAACTAAACCTTTACTCCTTCAACTTGGGTGCTGGGAACAAAGATAAAGTAAGACACTCCCTATCCTCTCAGGATACCTCAGACACAGGTAAAGAGATGCAGGGTTAAAGTATAAACATTTTAAATTTTAAAAAATGAAGTGTTTTTCAAATGTCTCTGTCTCAGATGGACCAGCATCTAATTACTTCTCAACTGCTCCAAGACATTACACAAATAATACTGCCTAATTTGACACTGCTAAGAAACTGACTTCTGGTCATCAGAAGTATCACTGTGCATACCTGCTGGGGTGTTACAAATGTTTATGGGACCTAAGAAGTAGGGTACTCAGCGAATTCTGAGTTTCCTCTTCTATAGGTGACTTCTTGGTATGTGCAATGTGCCTTCTGTGTGTGTATGTTTTTTTTTTTTTTTTTTGGTCTTTTTCGTTTTTATCAGTACCAGGGATCGAACTCACGACTGCCTGCTTGCAAGGCAGGTGCTTATGTGGCTGAGCTAAACCCCCAGCCCTGTGTGTGTTTCTTTTTGAGAGAGGGTTTCCCTATGTAGTTCAGGCTGGTCTTGAACTCATTTTGTAGCCCAAGGGTGGCCTTGAACTCACAGCAACCGTCCTGCACCAGCCTCCTGAGTGCTGGGATTACAGGCAGTGTGCCACCATAACTAGTGGTATTTGCCTTCTTTAGGACACTCAGGGGTTAGTACGCCCACTCAGCACCATACCTCGATGAAGAAGTAGCAGATGCCCCTGAGACCATAGGTGATGCAGGGCTTCTTCTTCCCCAGCCAGTAATTGTCAGAGATGCAAACGTAGTCCACGTCTTTAAAGAAGGTGTCTTTCTGGGCAAAAATCAGCTCGTCCAGGCCTTCGGAGCCAGACTCCTCCATGCCTTCGAGGCAGAATCGCACATTGACAGGGATCTCCTGTGAGAGGCAGAGGCAGAGGGCAGCAGGAGCCTTCAGCTTCCTTCCTTTTCTTCCGGAAGCGACAGACTGGAAGCCACCAATGCTTTGAAAGTGCAAATGTTAAATATCTGGCCTCCTCCAGAGCAGCCACAGGTAAGCACCAGTCTGCAAGACACAGTTCTCAGAACTCTCTACCACGCCCATGTGAGCCCTGAGACACTCCCATGGGTCCCAGGGTGGGCACACGAGCAACGCCTCAGGAAGCCTTAGCTGTTCCCCCGGAGACACAGGGACAAAGGGCACAGCACAGAAAGCTCCCCTGAGTGCTCACTGTGGCAGAGCGAGCTTCTGCTAAGACAGAGTGACAGACAGGGCTTCCTGCAGCGCCAGCACGGCTTCCTGTCCAGAAGCAGGGCCTGGTCCCGGGAGCGCAAGGATCCCTGTGACACACTGTCCAGCTCCAGCTGATCTTTCTCAGGGGTCTTTCCAGCTCTGCAGGGTGAGACAGGCAGTCTCATCCCCAGAAAAGAAAAGGTTGCACGTGAGCCAGAAAACTCGCCAGAGCCACACAGGTCCTGGAAGAGCGGGGCCCAAACCAAGCTCGAGTCTACCGAGTCCTGGTTCAAACTTGTCCAGTACTGTTCCATAAACGTATTTTCCCTTCCAGTTCTCCTCCTTCCACCCCGTGAAATCTTCCTGGGACCTACAGAGTAAACGGGCTTGAGGGCTGCACAGCCTCCTGTCACTGGCGGCTCCCAGGCCCTCCCCGGGGCTGCAGCGCTCCACGGGCCCTGGCATCGAGGCTCCCTGGCTGCTCTGCCACTCACTCATCGTGGGCACGGAGCTGGCTGTGTGGTTCTGTGTATTCCCTCCTATACAAGACTTTCCACTGAACCAAGTCTGAGACTCTTCTCAGGGCTAAGATTCCAATCTTTGACAAGAGAGACAAGTTATAAGCCAGATCCACAACTTATCTACACAGCACGCTCACAGGTTAAAAACCAGCAACGTGCTTGCTAACAAAGTACTTTAAGGGCTGGCATCTAGCAATTTTTCTCCCTACTTTTCTGTATTTTACCAACTTTAGCAATAAGCAGATATTTCACAGTTGTAGAAATATGTTGTTGAAACATAAAATTTATTTTTATGAAGATATAAACCACACAAAGTAAGCAATTGTTCAGCATCATAAAGCCTGTTACATCCTGGCAAGTGACCACACTCATGGTTCAGTCAATTGGAAATTCACTTTCTGGGGAAGGGATGTGACTCAGAGCTACAGTGCTGGCTTAGCATGCACAAGGGCCTGGGTTTGATGCTCATCACAAGAAAAAGAGGAGAGAAGGAGAGAAAAAGAAAGGAAGCAAGGAAGGAAAGAATCTTGCTGACTGGTCAACAGTATGACCTTTGAGCATTCGTAAAACAATTACCTCTCAATGTTTTATCAAGTTGGGAAGAGTAATAATCTTAAATCTGAATCATCTGTGCTGATTAAGGTTAGGAAAAGTGCTTTCTCCTACCTAGTAATCTTTATATACGTTCAGCAGAACCAGTGAATCGGCAGAATCGACGTGGAGGCATACCTGACCCGTCTTCTGATATGCTTCCAGGGCATTCATCCAGCCGGCCACCGGTCCCTTATCATCAGTTGATCCTCTCCCATACAGCTTGCCTACAACAGCAATCAACAAATACAGAGTTATGATTTGGAGAACTCAAAAGATGCAATCTCAAGTGAACAACAGATAATGTCTTAGTACAACCACATGTGCTGCCTACGGTAAAGATTCCTCTTCATATCCACAGCCTGGAGTATCTACCTAACACCCCTACTAGAATCCACAGAGCTGTGGTCAATAAGGCAAGACATTTGGGTGCCTCCATGTCACCCCTTCCCCAACAAGGCACCTGGCCAGGGCTATGATCCTGCTGAATTAGGGCAGACACTTAAAATCCAGTTCCAGGAAGTCCCTACCAGGTGGTATCTCATTAAAAACTACATACCAAATATAGCTGGTGGCAATGTAAGAAGTTGAGCCACATTTAGGAACCATATATATATACCATGACCACAAAAGTGCCACAAACCCTTTCCCCACCCCAACTCTGACACTTAGATAAAGAATACAACTTTCATTTTTATTTACTTTTTTCTCTTTTTAATTATTATGTTGAAAACAGAGGGACATGACCCCTCTTCCAACCAGTGTCCTCAGTCATGCAGTACCCAGAGGCAGATGCCCCAGCTAGGAAGCTGAACCAGCAATCACAGCTCAGGGCTCGGGTGTAGCTCTGTAGAAAAGTGCTTGTCCAGCGTGGCGAAGGTGCTGGGTTTGATCCCTGGCACCATAAAAAAGATAGCTCAGAAAATGAGTCCACAGCCCTCCTTCTCCCTCTGCCCTGTGACCCAGGGTACAGTACTGTGGAAACCAGGCTGCCTCTGAGAAGCCACGAAGCTTCCATGCTCAGGTTCGGCCCCTTTCTTGCTGGCCCTTGGCCTGTCCTGGCCAGTCTTCCTACCTCCTCATTCTCAGACTGTTGGAAAGCAGCTTCTGCATGACCCGCCCCAAAGTACTATGAAGCTTAACACCATCATCATCGTGCGAAGCTGCTTTTACAAAGAAAAGCCAATTTTTCAGAAAAGCTAAAGATCAAATAAAAACTCTCCTAAGCAGCGTTTGTCACTAGGACAAATACCAAGTAAGTACGGTGACTGGGACAGGGCTGGTTTAGGGTGTACCACCAACACAGAGACACACATTACTCAACCCTACTTTCCAGGGCTCCTCTGAATGGGACATATGGTTGGATGTTTGTAATGAAGGTTACTCACGGTGTGGGAGCTTTTCTAGTCTATAAAGGGGATGCTCTAGTCTAGAGAGGTGGCCTTTTGGCTGGGTACAGAGGGAGGCCACAGTGAGCACCTGGCCTGGGTGACAGTGAGCACGGAGGGTCGGGATACTGCCCACAGCGCAGAGGTGGACTCGAGGCCTGTGTGGCTGGGCACGACAGGGAGACGATCAAGGAAGACAAGGTGGATGGGCAGGGGTGCTGCAAGGACTGACTGTACTGATCTGACTCCTGACGGTGTTGGGTGGAGTGGCACATGGGGTCACTTTGGCAGCAGTACCGAAGAGGCAAAGTGTTAAGGCCTGGAGGCCAACATGAACAAGCACTGGGAGGCACTCGTGAAGGAAGGGGCCACGGTGGTGGGCACAGGGACAGGGTGGCCCACTTCCAGGATGGGTAGCAGGAAGATGGTGCCTCTCCCACTGATACATGAGGGGACTGAGCTACAAAGATGAGGTAAAGAGCCACTAAAGGGACCTTGTGAAATCTGATGCTCAAGAGGAGCCAAGTCCAAGTCTAAGTGGAAGATTAACCCTGCATTTAGCTACTGTAGGTTAGCAATGACACCGGGACAAGGACAAGGGTCTGGGCTAATGTTTTATAGGACACGTTTAAGAAAAATGGACAATTCTGTAGTCATGGAAACACTGCACACCAAGGCAGGCAAGATAAGACAGAATCTGCAAGTAGTTAGAGAAGGAGGCCTGGACCTTAACCCCAAGAGGCAAGATGCAAATGAAGGGGGTCTGCACTGACCCTCTCACTCCCTCATGTTCAGAAACGGGTGCAAATTCAGAAATGAAAGTAAAGAACCTTTACACAGAGAGGAGATGGGAAGAGGCCACCTCCAGTGGGTCCTTCACAGAGTCTGCCATGTCTGCTGTCACCTAGCCCGGGAGGCTCTCCAGAAACAAGCTATCCCTGCTCTCACTGCACCAGGGAAGGCAGGAGTCCAGCTGCCTTCAGAGAAGTTGCAGCACAGTGACTAAAACAGTCAGTACTCACTTAGGATGAGGCACTAGATTACAGGCCTCGAAGACTATGTGGCCCAATTCAGACTGAGTTCTGGAAAAGGAATCAGCAGCAGAGGAAGCTCAGGCCCACACCATGCAGGACTCCTTTCTATGACAGAAGAATGGCTTTCCAGATTTCCAACAATGAGGCACATGTGAAAAACTTAAAAAACCTAATCACTAGATAATGTTAAAAAACGATGTGTACTGATGAGAGGAAAAGCCCAAGAGATGTTCAATGATTCTACAAATGTAACATTAATAAATACTGTTCCTCATTAGACCTTTTCCTCTGTGAAATAGAGGGAGCTCTGGGCAAAACCATCCTGTCTCGTGCCTCACCATCTCGCTCCACCAAGGTGAAGGGCTCACTGTCCCAGCCGTCCTCCAGGGCCGCAGGCTGTACGTCCAGATGCCCGTAAATACACACTGTCTTCTTCTGTGGATCAGAGCCCAGTTTGCCCAACAGAATGGGAGGAAGAGGGATCTCCGAGCCATCAGGGAGCTAAGTTGAAGGAAGTGATCAGGGACAATCTCGTTAATAAAATCAGAATTTACAGCACATATTAACTGTACCGGGGCTTTCTTATCTATTCTGGTCAATTTCTGTCCTAGAGTTTTAAAGATCATGTCATTCAACACAGTTATGCATTAACAAGAAATTGCTTTCAGAGCAACTGAATTGCATTTATGAGGTAGTTTGGTAAATTTGTAAAGGCTGATTTTTTTCTTTAAGTTTTTTTAGGACAGGACATAATGAGAGCTGAGTCTGGCATGTAGCTTAGTTTGTTATCTGCTGAAATGATGGCTAATAACAACAACAATTCTGTTGGATGTAGCGATTTGCATCTGTAATCCCAGCACTGTGGTCAGCCAAGGCAGGAGGTTTGCAAATTCAAACCCAGTCTGGGCAACTTAGTAACTTAGTACAGTCCTATCTCAAAATAAACAATGAAAAAGGGCTGGGGATGTAGCTTAGTGTGCAAGTCCTGAGTTCTATACCCAGTATGTATACAGGTGAGGCTGGGGTACACTATAATCTTAAATTGAAAGGCGTATTTTTAAAATTCTGAATGTAGACAAATATTATGCATAGGATAGGCTGTAAACCAAGACAGAAAGAAATATAACCCATATTAAGCCACATTAAATGAAGTAGGGACAGTTGATACTTCTTCTGGACTTTGTCCCAAAGGCCCTGTTACACACCAACTGTAAGAACGGAGAACAGCGGGGCTGGGGATTTAGCAGCGGCATAAGCAACTGCCTTGCAAGCAGGCAGTCGTGAGTTTGATCCCCGGTACTGATAAAAAGTTAAAAAAAAAAAAAAAAAAGAACGGAGAACAGGACATTAGTTACTAGAGGAGAGTGCAGGGAATAAAGTCAAATTGGTCTCAGGTCCTCTCCCACCTTCACACGGGCCAGTGGTTTCTACCTGTGACTTTGAACCATGGCCCTTGGGCTATTCTGAGTTCACAGCCCTCGTTCCTTTTCTACCTGTCCCATATCCCCACAGAAAAGCTGCCAGCTGCCAGTGTCAGCAGTAAGTGGCAGGGAAGAGCAAAAGCACAGGCACCTTGCTTCAGGTACAGGAGGAAATGACTACTCCAGCCAGACAGCACGCACCTGAATCAGTCTAGCGATTTGAAAATACTCTTTATGAACACACCCATTAGCAAACATAACACTACTACACTGATGAAGATGCACTAATCACTTACAATTAAGAGGTGAAATGAACAGCAACTGGAAATGAACTGGACCAACAGAGTGCTGGTGACAGTTAAGTGTGTGGCCCCCAAACTTCAGGGCTCCTGAGGTGGCCAGAATTCTGTCAGGATACAGGACTGGTCTTCTCAGTAAGCTGAACTTATAAATACCCAAGTAACTCATAACCTAGCAGCTACCAGCTGGTGGACTTGATGTCCCTCACCCAAACTACAAAGGAGCCTTTCCATGTCAGTTCTGTGACACTGGCCTATGGCCACCAGAGCAGTCTACTGCCTGGGCACAAAGGTCACACGGTCTCTGCAGTCAGTGCCAACTCTCAGCGGACCTGAGCAGGACAGATTTTTAAATGGCAACAGATTTTCTCTAAGTACATTTCTATTCAACAGAGCCTGAAATACCGAAATACCTGTGTTTTTGTAGAGACGCTGGTGGGTCCCATGTATAAACTGGCCCTGAAATTAAGTAGAACCTGGAACTCCCAGGGTCAGCTTTCGTCCATACGCCTGGAAGCTCAGGCTTCGGGATATGCGCTTGGTTACTTGTCTGTAGGTAGCACCACCCGCCGCGGGCCTCCAGCTATTGCTCCCTCCATGATTATTATTATTATTTTTGATAGCGTCTTGCTATGTAGTTCAGGCTGTCCTCGAACTCACACTCTTCCTCCCTCAGGCTTCCGATAGCTGGGATTACAAGCATGCAGCACCACGCCCAGCTTTATCACCCTCTCTGAACATACAGCGCTACGGCCCATACAGTGCTCCCTAAGTTGTTGAACTCAATTCATCCAAAGTCATGTTTGAGAACTAAACATATTTTCCCAAAAGAAATAATGGAAAACCACATTAATTGGTTGTGAGGCCCCAAAATTACACTTATAAATTCATTTTTCCAGGACTTCAACAAATTTTACAATGATTTTTTTTTCTGTTTTATTTTGTTTGGTCTTTTTGAGACAGGGTTTCACAGTTCCAGCTGGCCCTGAACTTGCAGCAATCCGGCCTCAGCCTCCCAAGTGCTGGGATGACAGGGGTGTGCCACCATGCCTAGCTTATAATATGTTTTAAGCCAACTCTTGAATTTCTTGCCAGAAGAAAATCTCAAAAGCATACTGGACCAGATGTCAAGTCCTGATTTTAATTCTGCTTGAACCTACTGTAGAGGTATCACCCACTACGATGAATTAATGAGTGCCCTGATCTGAATGGCCACACCCAAATTTCCAGGCCTGTGAACTCAATCAATACCTAAATTATGAAGCAAAAGAATACAGATAAACTCAAAATTTTCATACTCTATGATATAAAGACTTGAAAACTTTGAAAAAAGACTGCACGGAAAATGTAATTTACCTGCAATTCATGTCAAGCTAAAATAGAATAATGCATTATAAAGCAAGATTGTTGATTTAAGTTAGAAATAACATCAGCCATTGTCATCTATCAGAATCCTCCATTAAAGTATACCTGACATGTTCCCTGCTGCATCACAAACTCTCTCTTGTGAGCAAGTGTTAAGGTAACAGTGTGTGTGTGTGTGTGTGTGTGTGTGTGTGTGTGTGTATCCTCTATTTTTACAGAGATATGAATAAAGTAAAACTTCCCCTGTTAAAAAGCTTTCTGATTTCTGGGAGGGGAATTTCAGCTATTCTCTAAGAGTGACCGTCACATGTTCTTAGTAGAGAATAACTGTCTACAGCCTACAGTTCTCTTTTCTGGAAAAAAAAGGCTGAATATTAGAAAATTGTTGCAACAGTGAGCAATCACATGAATGTAAGATCTAAATCCAGCCCAGCCTCTCTTTTTTGTTTTAAAGATGAACTGAGAATCTGAAGCAAAAGACCTTCCACAAACCTGCAGAGTGCGTCCTGCAGCCCCAGGCAGAAGCTGGGGCTTTCTGTCCCTCTCACACCACAGGGGAGGAACACCAGTTCGTACCTTTTGTTTCCCAATGTCCACCAGTTCCACAGAGCCCCCGAGCTGCTGGATATCGGCAGCAGCGACTTCCATCATCCTCCGGATCTCTCCCCTCTTCTCGGGCCAGGCCGACACACTTTGGATGGCCACCCAGTTTGCAAGTTTCTGTTTTGGGAGAGTAAGTAAAAAAGGATTCTGAAAAGCTGCTCCTTAAGGGAAGAAAGCCACTTGCAGGTCTGCCCTGTTTCTGGCACATTAGTCTGACTTACAACCTGGGCCAGCTCCATCCGGCACATGCCAGCTGGAAAGATGAGACCCTTCCCATTTGCTTTTCTTTTAGATTTTAAAAGCTGTTTGTATGAATGCTGTACCAGAAACTACAGGCCAAAAAAAAAAGTCAGAATGTGTATTTTTTTAACCACTACGATGTGAATATGAAATGTACAGAGTTGTGTAAATAAGTTTATATGTGAACAAAATTACAAACGAAAGATATGAAACATACTTAATGCTGTCACAGTCCAAACCATAATTATCCTGACAATAGCCAAATTTTTCAAAGTATCATTTTCAGAATCTAAAGATTTTATCTGGAAGATGTTTATGAAGAATTACATTAGGATTCTATTAACATCAAACAATAATATGTAACATTACTGAGTCATTTAGAATAAGCTAAATACAAAGTATTTCTTTAATATGTAACTATCACAAGAAATCATAGATGGAGACTAAATAACAATCTTGAATTAGTCTTTTTATTTCTAGAAAAACATATTAACATTTCTTCAAATGCTGAAATGAGAAAGCTAGGTAACATTTCTAACAATTGCTTTAAATGGTATAATTCATAACTTCTTGAAAGTTCCTCGGAGCCCTAAAGAATTAAACCAAATTTCCATTTTCTTAGAAGGAAATATTTCCTTACCTTAATGTAGCGGTCCTGGTTTCCATCAATATACTGAAACAGGGTACTCAGGGCTGTCATCTTTCAAGCAGGCAGCAGCTAGTTCCTGCAAGGGAGAGGACTCGCCTAGTCTTGGCTGCAGCGAGGGACTGAGGCTGACTGGTGACAGCAACTTGTGCAGATCAGCCTTGTAAAGTGCTCATTCACCCTCCCTGTCAGATTGCAACACCCATCACGGGATCTCCAGGAAGTGACTGCTTTCAAGGCCAAGAGCTCCTGAAACCAGCTTGGCAGAGACTGACAGTCACTGGTTTCCCCCAAAGGCAAATCTACACAAAATTGTGTGCCCAACAACAGGTAAATGAAGGGAAGGCCTCTGCTGCCAACCATCTGATGAAAATTACAAGCAGGTTCTTCCCAGTAGCACAGATTAGCAGATGCTTTTGTTGTTTTACTTTATACTCTTTAAAGCACCACGGTGGAAAGCCCATAGTACAACCAACTGGATCCCCCAAATTTGGATGAATTCAGTTTGGGAAAGATGACCTGAGCCCAGAAACTGGGAGGGGGGCATGTGGTATACTTAATTTCCACAAGGACAGGAAATAAAGAAACCCCCTTTCTACAGTGGGGTGACCATGGGTAACACATGGTATGTTTCAGAAAGCTAAAAAGAGAGGATTCTCAATGTTCTACTATAAATGATCAATGTTTAAGATACACCTACCCTGATTCAGCCATTACACAACGTGTACATGTATGGAACAAGACATGATGCATCCTAATTACATACAATGTTTTTAGATACCAGTTAAAAACACATTTAAAATAAACAAAAAATATATTTACATTGCTGGCAGCCTGCTAGGCACATTTTCTAACTTCCAGCTTTTGTGCTTTAAACCCCACAACTCCTACTGTGTTGTAGACACAGGGGAAAGTAAATCTGGGAAATTTAAATTCAGCTTTTAAAAATCAAAATGAATATGAAATTGACATGACCCTGGTTCTCTTTGGTTTCTGTTAGGGACAAGACTCAGCCTTAAGCATTAGTGGGAAAGAGCTCCACTGAGTGACTTCATTCTGAGGTGACATGAAGTGATACCCTAGCACAGCAATTTGTATTTCTGAAGGGAGTGCCAGATGAAGGCCTGCACATGGACACACTGTAGTTAAGCGACAATTTTTCTTGGTGCAGTGCTGCAGAAGGGTTTCTAAGCAGGGGTAACCTGATTCACTGTGACATGAATCATGGAACGGGGCTGCAGATGAAATCACAGGGCACTGTGAGGATCAAGTGTGATTTCTGTATGAGTGGGACATCAAACTACTGAGTTCTCAGGGTCCTCTCCCCTCCTCTTCCTCCTTAAACACAGCATGAAATATTTCCATTCCTCCTGGCTAGGCAGACTCACACCACCTCTGCCAAGGAACTCACTTCAGAGACCCACAAGGAAGATGCAGTCCACAAACACCCTTCGGAGTATTACCACGTCAACTTTCACCCAGCCATCATGAGAAATGAATATAGGGAAGCCATCTGTTTACATTAGATGAAACCCTATTCAAAGGATCACATACTACACTGGGGGTTTCGCATTTGGGTTCCTGGCCATTAAATGCCACAAATATCAAACTCACCGCGTTGTATTTTCATTCAGGTTACTTTTTTGTTTGGGGGGAGGGGCAGCCGAATTAACCTTCTAACTGAAGTCACAGATCTTGTATCTAAGTTGAACTTTTCACCCAGGAGTTTAATCAGAGCTGACTGTTCACCTGTCCTCAAGGGCATGAGGGCTGAGTTTGGAGCACCTCCTCCTCTTAACTGCTTGGTCTGGCCCAAGCAGGTCAGGCCAGGCTCCCTTTTCTCCCATCCACTCAAGCTGCTGAATGGCTCCTGTTTAGGTGCAAGCCAGCACCTAAAGCCATTTTTGTAGCCTATTTATTTATTAAGGTAAAGCTCTATGGGTGAATCAAACAAAAGCAGATACTATCCTTTCAAATAGATGACAGCCTTGCTCATTTCCTGAAATGTCAAGCTTATGGTGAGCAACATAACTTAAAGGGAGGCTGGAGAAACCAGTGTAGTACCTGGACATAGGCAGCAAGATAGGATGATTTGTTCTGAGGATCCCAGTCGTTGTCCCTAACAGCTCAAGGCATATACTAAATAAATAACTGAATCACGCCTCCAAGTCTGAATGAAAGCCATTAGGAATGGGAATCTCCTATTTGGCAGTTCTAAAAAAAAGTTCATTCTAAACATACCATGAAAATACCTTTTGCCACTCCTCCCTGCAAACAAGGCCATCTTGGCAGATCTCACGATAATTTCCCCTTTACACCCAAGTTAACACTAGAATGACTCACCAGAAACAAAACTGTGGTAACTTGTATGGGGGTCGAAGGTGTCAAGGTCATTAGCATATGGGACCAAGTACGGACTCCAATTTACAGACAAGGATACTGAGACTGATAGAATGAATGAGTATGCAGGAAAGGCAATCTTTGCATTTTCTGCCCAGCTCTTTCCCACAAGCAACCTGTGGCCTTAAGTGCCGGTGCGGGCGGACCCTGCCCCGCCCTTTGAACCCAGGGCGTGTCGGGAGAAAAGCTGCGCCTAGGCAGGCCTCCCAGAGTAAGGGAGTGAGGACTGATCAGCCCTCGGAATCCTGCGACCCCTCCCGTATCAGGTCCCGTTGTTCTGCGGGGACCAGAGGCACCCCAAGAACAGCGCCCTAGCCCAGGCCCTCCCAGGGTGACTGAGTGTGGTCTCCAGGCGCTCACAGCACGCTCCGGTACAGCTCCTCTGTTCCCTCCTGACCAGGGCCTGAAGCCAGAGCAACCGCGAGAAGCAGCAGGATGGCCTCCTGCCTGCCGCACCCCAGCCCGAGAAGCCACCCGGAGAAGACCTGGGAGAGGCCAGCTCACTCACCTCCTGCGCAGTACTAGTTCCGCACCACGTGCCCCGCCCACCACTCCCTGGCCAATCGCAGTGGGCTGCTCCGCCCCGTCCCGCCTGCCGGCGCCCAACCCACAAATCCCTGAGGGGTAGGCCCCGCCCCTTTGCTGCCTGGAGACGGGGGCGGGGCTTCGAGCTCCGCGGCGGGAAGGCGAGGGGCTCTGCAGCGCTTAGCCTGGAGCGGAGCTACGCCTCTCCTCTCGGTTAGCCGCGGGGCTCCCCCGCACTGCAGTTCTGAAGTCTGAAATCGGGGAGCCCACGCACACGTGACCAGCAGAATCCGAGGAAAGCACTTCCTGTGAGCTGCACTGCGTTCTAGCTTGATGTGCTTTGATACTCAAAATTGTGTGACAAAAGTTAGTGAAAGTATTTCTCCTGTGAATCTGAATAAATGTTAAGAAAAAACCTTTTGCCTAACGCAGGCGCGTTTATCTGGAAATGTATCGTCAGAAGGTATAGCTTTTTAGGACCTGTCCCTTTAAAATGATACAAAATATGCGCCTACAATACCTGGCACTCACCATAGCTGGCACAGAGTAAGGGCTTTGTAAGTGCTGAGGCCTCGTCCTGTAGGCGGGCATGCTGTAAACTGGAAGGGCTGACACCTACCCAGGCCTGACCGCTTGTGCCCCAGCTAGTCCGGAAGTGAGCTAATATTTGAGCGCAAGTGTGCACGTCTCTGCATCTCCAGCAGATGGCCCCGCTTGTCTGTTTCTTTGCCAAATCGTCCACAAAGATGTTACTAGTACTAAATCTGATCTTAGTGTATGGAACTAGATAAGTATCTCTTCTTTGCCGGATTTAGAGAGAATGAGAACAGTATGTGAGAAAACAAAGAAGGAGGTATGCGGATGGGTGACCAGCAGTTGGGAGCGTCTGAAAGAGGAACTTTGGGGACTATATGCACGATCGAACCACTCGGAAAACATGAGTTTATCCTCCCAACTGCGACAGTTTTCATTTCCTAGCACGAGACAGAATTTAATCTCCAGAATCCCACCGACTTGTAATAAATCTTTGAGCAACTCAGGCAATGGGGGACCCACCTCTTTGGAAAACAGCGTTTTCCTGGTAACAGGAACTACTCTGGAGAGCCTGGCTTTTCTCCATATACCTAAATGCAGAGAAGTAGATGGGGACTGATTTAGAGAATAATTGCTAATTAGGATGGTGTAAAGCAGTGTAGGATTAGTAACCACTATAACTGGGCTTCACACTCACCTAGCCTTAGAGGTTAGTAAGGTCTTCTCACCCCATAGCTGGTCTCCAGGACTCTAGCTGGCTCTGCATTCACTCCCATGGCATCAGCCAATCGAATACTCCAGCCCCAAATGCTCACATATCCTTTGACATACAAGACCTCACTGGTGTATCTCACAGACTTTTCAAAAACCAGCACAGACAGCTCAGGATATGTTGCATTCCAGGTCACTGCAATAAAGCAGTTTTACAATGTAGTTGGTTACATGAGCTTTTTTGATTCCCCCAAGAATAAATTCTGCTTACAATACACTATCGTCTATTAATTGTGCAATAGTATTAAGTGTAAAAACCGACATACCTTGATTTAAAAATTTTTCATTGCTAAAAAATGTTGACAATCAACTGAGCTGTTGGAAAAGTAGCACAGATACACTTGCTGGATCCAGAATTACAAGCTTTCAATTGGTAAAAAACACAGTATCTGCAAAGTGCAATAAAATCCAGCATCTTAGTTATTTTTTTGTTGCTGGGACATAATACCCCACACCCACAATTTAAAGGAGGAGAGGTATTTTGGTCCATGATTAGTTCCTGGTTGCCTGGCTACTCAAATTGTGGCTCCAGAAAGCAGAGAGAGAGGCAGGAGCCAGGGAGGAACACATATCCTTTCAGATCACATTCCCGGTGACCTGCCTGTTCTTACCAGGCCCTACTTCTTAACAGCAAATTTAGCTATCTCGACCTCATAATTCAGTCACCTTCAAAAAGCCCTATCTACAAGGGTGAGGCTCTTGAGCTGTGCTTTTAGGAGGCTGGGACTGGCTGGAAGAGGAAGATCACTAAGAGTGTTGCCTACAAGGGTGTATTTCTCTTCCTGGCTCCATTATCTTTGATATGGGCAGAAAAATGACAGACTCCAAAAAATTTTAAAAAGCACTTTATTAGCTGAGGTCAGTGGCAACACTGTCCCAGAAAAGCAGCCAGGGAAATATGCATGGGAGCCAGGGGCTGCAGGGAGTTATAAAGTAGCAAGCTGCAAGGGGAGGGGTTAGGGTCTTAGGATCAGTTTGTCCCCATAAAAGGAACCAGAGAGGCAGAACAAGCAGTTACAGGAACCAGGGAGGGAGGGAGGGGGTTACATGGTGAGTATGTTACAAGGTTGCAACTTAACTGACAGTTACACAAGTTTTACAGGAAGAGAACAAGTTATAACAAGTACAGCACAATTTGGGTTTTTGCGTTTTTATAACGATCTTGTCTTCTCTCTCTGCTTCCTGGTCACCACAACGTGAATCACTTTTCCTCTGCCAGGCAGTTTTATACTTGCAGCCCACCAATCATGGACTGAAAAGAGCCAAAAAATCCTTCTCCTCAGGGCTGGGGATTTAGCTTAGTGACATAGGCACCTGCTTTGCAAGCGCATGGTTGTGAGTTTGATGCCTGGTACCGATAAAAAGAAAAAAAGGACAAAAAAAAAAAAAAAAATCCCTCTCCTCCTTCAGTTTGAAGGTGTTGGGAATCGAGCCTCCTCTCTGACTGTCAGCTACTGAAGAGCCCATGCCATTAAGGTGATTGCTTCTTGTTGCCTGTGATTCTGATTCAGTTTTCTACTTTGATAATGAGAGAGATGTTTTGTGTGTCTGAGAGTGCAGTTTCCCCAAAGAGAGCATATGATTGGTTTAGCAAATCAGCATTAAGAATAAAGTTTCCTGCTTGACAGAGTGCTTGTTCTAGGTGCTCTTGGGGCTGACAGCCTATATAGATGGCTGTGTTTGGGATGGAGGCAGATCACATGGTACTCTGTGTGTCCAGCTGTGCTGGAGAACTTCCATAGCACAGGGTGTAGGCACAGTGGACCCTCTGCAGCTTTTCCTTAGACAGGGGTCGCAGAGCTGGTGGGGCTCCGGTGTCGTGTTTCTATGGCCCAGCAAAAGTAACAACATCAGTAGCAACAGCAACAAAACCATTTTAACTTTTATTTTTTTCTAGACTTCCCGCTTTTTGGCAATCATTTAATATCTTAACTGTATGTTGAAGAAAGTCATTTTAATGAATTCATAAAATCTACTGCAACATTCTTGAATTTGGTGAAATATACCTAGAGCACCCCAAAGATTTTTTTTGAGTTCACAGAACCTGGGAGAACATCAAGATGAAAGTGACTGGTTTACAAAGGTTAAGGAGATCATCTTTGAAATATGACTGTGGCTAGGGCTGATGTTCAGTCTGCAGTTCTGGCTTTTTGTCTTGTGTTATCAGGTCTGGCTTTCTGGGCAGGCTGTTTTCTGTTACTAGAGTTATTTTTAGCCATTCCAGAGATGGAGTCTGGCTGCCATGTGTCTGGATGGAGGCGCTGTTATCAGTTTTACGCTAGATTTTTGTGTTTTAGTATTTGGTATTTCTTTTCGAGATGCAAGGGATCAGATCCAGAGTTTTGTGCATGCTGGGCAAGTGTTCAACCACTGAGTGACACTCCTAGTCTTTAACATTTGGCTTTTAATTGATACAATATGTCATGCAGATTTTCACAACATGACCTTTTTGGAGAGAATGTTCTGAAAATCACAGTTGTGACATCCTGACAGAAAGCTCTATGAACATTGAGCTTTTATCTGAAGTACCAAATTAGCCTAGTGCCTGATTCAATGAGAGTTTGAAGAGCAAATGAACCAATAAAGGAGTAAACAGAGTTACTCTTTCTAAGAGTAGCTCAGGTTCTCCTCTCTAACATCTGTAGCCACTTGGAAGAAAAGTTAAAATGCTTTCCCTTTCCCACATTCTTCCTGCAAATTTACATACAAAATTATATACATATACTACATACACATATACACATTTATGTACATGGATATATTTATATAGGTTGAGAGGGCTGAAGACTCCAGGTTATAGTCACTACCTCATTACTGACATAGGACCTCTGAATACATGTATAAAACTCTTTTTCAAGTTACAAATGCTCTCAAGTTATGAGTTTCATCCTAGGCAAAAAAAAAAAAAAAAAAAAAAATACAATCTCTATTCCTGAAAAAGTTTTATCACAAGCCCAAATTTCTGCTGTAGGTGTGGTCCTTGAAAGGGAGACATCCCTTTCCCCAGTTCTTTTCTTTGATGTGTAGTACAGTGATCAGTTGCCATCCAGCTGTGTGACGGTTGTTTAAATGGCCTACACATGGTTCTGGATTTTCAATTTGCCTTAAATTAAATCTTTTGACTTTTGTCTGAAACTGAATTGTAGTAACTCCCCTTCAGATTTCTTGCATTAACTAAATCTAGAGAAAATGCAGAAGCCCATTTGTAAAGTACTGTTTTCGAGATTCCTCATGTTTAACAGTTCAGGAAGTGCATTTTCTTCTTGATTTCATGTGACCCTCGGAGCAAATATGGAGGCAAGAATTTTTCTCCCTGTGCCATGGCACCTCCCATTTCCTCACCTTTATAGTGTGCCAAGATGAGAGTGGGTGGAGATGGCCGGAAGGAGGCATGTTTCTGTCTACAACTGCACAAATGTCACCCTGAGGCACTTTTTTGGGAAAACAACAATAAAAACAAAAACTACTGCTCACTTGATGGCTTAGATCTAAAATGTTCCTCCAAGGAGTCATGTGTTCAAGGGCACTTTAAGAAGGTGACCTGAACATGGGGCTGCTGTACTCACCGTGGATTAATCCTGTAACGCGCTCATAGCTGAATGTGCTTGAAGGAGACAGGGCTCAGCGGAGGAGGTGGGTCACTGGGAATGTGGCTTTGGAGAGCACATCCCTGCTCAGGCTCCCTTTCTGCTTTCAGCCTTCCACGGGTGGTGCACGTTTTC